CTGAATAAGTGAACTGTGTTCTCTTGTGCATATATATAATATTATCATTGTCCAATAATCTGCCCATGGATTGTTTCAAATACAAACACATATCTAATATATAATAATATATTAAATAGGGACGTATAACAATGCCTTTCAAAATTAGTATTTTACAAAATTTTTTAAAATCACTGAAATTTTAATTTTTGTTAAATTGAGAAACCTTATTTATTCATTTATTTATTTACTTTTCAATTTTAGCTCCACTTAGCAGTGTTCAAAACTTACTCCTGGTGCATTCGGGGATCATATGGAGTGCCAGGGTCTGAACCTGGGTCTGCTTAAAGCAAGGCAAGCACTTTACCCTCCATACTATCCCTCCAGTCCCTTTATTTCTACTTTACATACCGTGTCAATTTGCACTTTTATCATTAGCATATCAATGTTCCCTTCTCGTATTCTCTCTAACTTCTCTTTATTATTTTGGATAATATAATATTGTCAGAGTTGTGAATGGATATGTAATTTATTTTACCTAACTATGCAGAGCCTGTCAAGCTCCCCGTGGTGTATTCGATATGCCAAAAACAGTAACAAGAAGTCTCACAATGGAGACGTTACTGGTGCCCGCTCAAGCAAATCGATAAATAACAGGAGGACAGTGTTATCTAACTATAAGAAGATGATGAAAAATTTTTTATGTACCAATTGCAGATCTCTATGTATTTCACGGGAAATTGTATTCTCATAATACAATAAGATACAAAGGCAAAAATACAATCCATGTTTTATTAGAAATACCAATACACAGAATTCCCATGGACGATTCAAATAGAATTTTCTGTTGTCTTGCGTTTAGAGTCAAACTCAGCAGTGCTTATGGCTTAATCCTGGCTCTGTACTTCCTGATCATTTCTGACCAGGGTCAGAAAAACATATGGAGTTGAACCTTGGTTGGGCATGTGAAAGACTAGAAACTTACCTACTGCACTCTTTCACCAGCCCCCAGAAAGAATTTTTGTTTTGAAATTTCTGCCCTGAGGTGAATTTTTAAATTGTTATGAACCATGTTCAAATTTTATTTTTAAAAAAGACCCCATGGATAATATGTATATACTGAAATTCATGACGGACCTATATTTGGCACTTAACATTTTATCTTTATTATAATACATTATAGCTACTCTATGTCAATGTATATTTATATCTAAAAATTAATTTAATGTCAGCACATAGAAATAAATTGTTATTTTAGACTGTAGCACAGTCCTCCCATTGTTCATCAATTTGCTTGAGCGGGCACCAGTAATGTCTCTATTGTGAGACTTGTTGCTAGTGTTTTTGGCATATCTAATACATCACGGGTAGCTTACCGGGCTTTGCCATGTCGGTGGGATACTCTCGGTAGCTTGCTTGCTGGGGTCCCTGAGAGGGGCAGAGTAATCGAACCCAGTTTGGCCGCATGCAAGGCAAATGCCCTATCCTCCAGCCCTATTTTAGACTATACTTATAAAATACTTTCTTTCTAAATGATATGATAATGTTTTTATAACCATGATTTCTCTTTCGTAAATCTATTGTCAATGTCAAAAACAATCGCTGAACATTCACTTGCATTTCATTTAATCATAAGTGAACCATTTTATGAACATTGGCAAATGTTGAATTTTATGCTTTTTATGTTTTATGTGTATAAATAAATATGTATTACCATATATTTCAATATGCATTGCTGCTAATTTATACATTCACGAATACAACCATCCTGTTGTTCATCGATTGCCTCGAGCAGGCCCCAGTAACGTCTCCTTCGTCCTAGCCCTGAGATTTTTTTTTTAAAAATGCCATATTCAATGCTCTTTCAGGGTTAGGAGAATGAGACCCATCATTGTTACTGGTATTTGGCATATTGGGTATACCACGGGGAGTTTATAATTTATACATTATAATACAAATATTTATTATGGTGAACATATATTTTGTAGGGTGTTTTTGAGCAATTACTGAATGCCCAGAAGTTTGAAATGACTTTGTTTCATTATCTGAACTTTTAATTATGATAAACTAGTTCAAGCACTCAGTTCCAAAATAAATGTTTGAATTTTGTGGTCAGACCAGACATGAATCTTCAGACAATACATACTCCTGATCAATTTGTTATAAAATATAACTGCTATGATTTATACTTCAGTATTGATAATTTGCTAAATTGCTTCACAGAACTGAGAAAATAGTTTTTTTATGTATATCAGTTTATTATAAAAAGACTCAGGAACACCTAAAGTTAATTAACAACATAGGACTAAGAATCTTTTGATCATCAAGTGATGGGAGATGAGGGCCACAAGTTAGAAATTACAGATTCTCTCAGAGCACATGAAGAAATCAAAGAAGAAATCTTTCTTCTATTTCATTGGGGATTTTTTATATCCCTATGTACAAATGAAACAATAAAGTAGAAGAAGAAGAAGAAATTTTTTAAGACTCAGTTTCCTAAGAGTGTCTCAAAAAATGAGTACCTGGGAATATGCTTAGTAAAACAGGTGAAGAAGTTACGCAAACAAAACTATGTGGTGCTATTTTAAAAATATAAAAGACACAAAGAAATGGAAACACATCCTCTGTTAAAAGATCAAAAGCATGAATAATGCAGAAATTACCACCCTTTCCAAATCACTATAGACATTCAATGTCACTATTACTGTCACTGTCCTCCCGTTGTATCGATTTGCTCGAGCAGGCCCAGTAACGTCTCCATCTTGAGACTTTGTTGTTACTGAGTTTGGCATATTGAATACGTCACGGGTAGCTTGCCAGGCTTTGCCGTGCAGGCGAGATACTCTCTGTAGCTTGCCAAGCTCTCCCAGAGGGGTGGAAGAATGGAACCAGGCTCAGCCTGGCCAGCTGCACAAGGCAAACACCTTACCGCTGTGCTATCGCTTCAGCCTGAAATAGTAGTACACACTCTCAAATCAATGAATTAGAATAAGACACAGAGAGAAACCACTAAGGAAAATGTTCTCAACAAGTGGATAAATCCTGGTTAATTATATGTTTGTTTGGTTTTTGTTTATAGAACTTACTACCTATGTCACATATTCATCAGAGTTTATGGCTCAGAATTTAATAAATCATATAAATAACATACAAAGGTGTGCAATGATGGCTCTTTTCTCTATTGACAGTAAAGGTAAGGTAAAGGCCCTCCCGTTGATCGTCGATTTGCTCGAGCGGGCCCAGTAACGTCTCCATTGGAGACTTTGTTGTTACTGTGTCTGGCATATCGAATACTCTCGGTAGCTTGCCGGGCTCTCCGAGAGGGGCGGAGGAATCGAACTCGGGTCGGCCATGTTGGCTGCTTGTAAGGCGAACGCCCTACCGCTGTGCTATCGCTATTGACAGTAGTTGAGAAAAAATATAATCTTAACTAATTACTATAAAATAATCTCTTTATATAATAATGAAGGGCTGGAGCGATAGCACAGCGGGTAAGGCGTTTGCCTTGCACGCAGCCAACATGGGCCGACCCGAGTTCGATTCCTCTGCCCCTCTTGGAGAGCCCGGCAAGCTCCCGAGAGTATCTCGCCCGCACGACAGAGCCTGGCAAGCTCCCCGTGACGCATTCGATATGCCAAACATAGTAACATCAAGTCTCACGATGGAGACGTTACTGGGCCCGCTCGAGAAAATCGATGAACAATGGGAGGACAGTGACAGTGACAGTATAATAATGAATACCCAAAAGTCAATTTAAAATGGGTTAATGTCCTTAATATCAGACCTCAACACATATATTGAGGAAAACAGGGAGAACCCTTGATGACATCTGGAGGCATCTTCAACAACAGAAGCATAAAAAAAATTGGGATAAATCAAATTAAGAAGTTCCTGCATCACAAAAATTTACCTGGAACAAAGATATCCCACAGACTTGGAGTAAATATTTTCTTACCACTCATACGGCAAAGGTTTTATATTCAAATAGAGAAAGCACTTGTAAAAAAGTTAACAGCAGAGCATCAATGACAAAACAACCCTAGTAATTAATGGGAGAAGAGATGGGCAGTCCTTTAAGGAAGACACACAGATGTCCAATAGCTATATGAAAAAAAATGCTATCATTAGCACCTGAGAAATGTAAATCATGAGATTAATGTGATAACACCTCACAAGTGAGACTGGGATACATACAAAAGAACATTTATAAGTGTTGATGTGGACATAGGGAAATAGGAACCATCATTCACCTTTGGTGAGAACACAGACTGCTTCAACTTCTTTGAGAAACATTGTCAAAAAAAAAAAAAAACACGAAGAACTGAACTTCCACACAACCTAGCAATTTCATTTCTTATTAGTTAATCCAAAGAAATAAAAATTCTACATCAAAAGGCATGTGTGCCTCTGTGTTCATTGTAGCACTGCTCACAGCAGTCAAGATTCAGAAACAATCCAGGTTGCTCCAAACAATTGTCTGAATACAGAAATTGTGGTATACACAATAGAATACACTTTTAAGAAAAGATGAAATCATGCCATTTGCATCTGCTTGGATGTAACTAGAAGGTTCCATGCTGAGTGAAGTCAGAGGGAGAGGGACAGGTATAGTCAAAATTTTCTTAGATGTGAAATATAAAGAAAACTAGTACAGGAGTATAAAATGACCACAGGCATCAGAACTGTAATAAAGAGTTGTTATAGAAAACTGAAAATTACCTGTTAGAGGAAAGTGGATGGAGGTGGGGTCTTTGAGATGGTTGTTATGCAGGGCAATTATATGTATGAAACTATCATGAACAGTACTTGAAATTTCTATATTTCAATGAAATTGGAGAACAAATTCTGACTTTTGAGTTATGATGTAGTAACCAAAATTTATAAAATATTAACATGCAAGAGTTTTAATTTATCTTTTTCTTTCTCATGCACAGATGCACAAACGTATACACCCAGATACACACACAAAACACACACACACATTCACACCATATATAGAATCAAGTAAAATATGCAGTTACCTTTCCATCGTCACACTTAGTACCAGTTTCCACAACTGTAATATCTTTACTTGCCCTACTTCGTAATGATGAAGATATACATATATGTTCTCCCAGGAAAGTATATTGAATATCAAGATTACTACTTTCTGCTATACGTGTATCTGTCCAGTGACAAACTAACTTTCCACAAGGTATATTCCTGGAAATGTAGGGGAAAAAATAGTATCCATATGTCATTAGAGATGCTAGATATGACATAACAGATAAATATATGAGAATAACTTTAAAAGATTACTCAGGTTAAAAATACCTAACCATTCAAAATATATATAATCTTAAGGAATATAATATCTACATATAAAAACATCTATAAATTTATCTACATATACCATTTGAATAAGTCAATTTGAAGGTACATGAACACATGCATTTAAAAATGTATAATTTTCTAAGTACTCACGCATAATCACATGGACCTCCCTTACAATTTCCAAATTTATCATTTTGTGAATTCACTTCTTGTGAACATAAATATGTTGAGAATGTAGCAGCTGAAAATATAAATAGTTTAAATTATTTTATCATTTTAAAGTGTGGTGAATAAATCATTATAGGAATATCTAAAAACAATGTTGTAATTAAAAATATAGCTCGCCATAACTTTTTATTTTCATCTTACCATAGAAGGAAAGAAAAAATGGGGCTGAAGGTCTAGTACAGCATGTACATGATTTGCACCTGACTGATCATCAGCACCCATATAACCCTCTGAGCACTGTCAGGAGTAATTATTGAGCAGAGAGCTGGGAATAACCCCTGAGCATCACTAGGTGTGACCCCAAAACAAAACAATAAAAAGAAGAAAAGGAATCATTTAGGAAAAACTAATCAGATTTCCAGCAAAATGATGCTTCACTCCCTAACATGTATAACACAATAATAGATTCAAAAATCACAGCTTCGGTGTCTAGAGGAGTTAAGGCATTTGTTTGCCTTACAGATTGCCTAAACCAGATTCAATATCAGGCACTACCTATGGTCCTTTGAGCAATTTCAGATATGACTGCTGAGCGCAGAGCCAAAAATAACCCCTGAGTTTACAGGTGTGACCAAACTTCCCTTAAATAAAACAAAATAAAACTCACAATCTTTTTTAAAACATAAAGATGAAATTTCAAGGGCTGGAGAGATAAGGTAGGGCATAAGACAGTTGCCTTACATATTCTTACCCCAGTTTAATATCCCACATCACATATGGCCCCCTATACTCCCAGGAGCAATTCCTGACCACAGAGATAAAAGTTCTGAACACAGCTGATGTAGCCCAAAAACCTAATAATAATAATAGTAGTACTGTTATCTCGTTGTTCACTGACCAGTAACGTCTCCATTGTAAGACTTGTTGTTACTGTTTTTGGCATATCGAATACGTCACAGGGAGCTTGCCAGGCTCTGCCGTGTGGGCGGGACACTTTTGGTAGCTTACCGGGCTCTCCGAGAGGGATGGAGGAATCGAACCCGGGTTGGCCGCATGCAAGGCAAATGCCCTACCCCCTGTGCTATTGCTCCAACCCCATAATAATAAACACTGCACTGTAGCACTGTCTGTTGTTCATCAATTTGCTGGAGCTGGCCCAGAAAAGTCTCCATTGTGAGACTTGTTGTTACTATGTTTGGCATATCGAATACATCATGGGCTGTTTGCCAGGCTTTGCCGTGCAGGCGAGATACTCTTGGTAGCTTGCCAGGCTCCCCGAGAGGGTCGGAGGAATCAAACCCGAGTTGGCTGGGTTGGCTGGGTCGGCTGCATGCAAGGCAAACGCCCTACCCACAGTGCTATTGCTCCAGCCCATATAATAATAAATATTATTATTATAATTAGCAACAACAGTGGAGATCAGATGGTGAGAGTAGCAGAGTCTTCAAAAGGACAAGTTCGAGAGAAATTTAGAAACTTTAGGACAAATCTAACATAGTTGACCACTGTGTACTTTTATGGGGCTGCAACTTGAGACAAAGACAAAAAGATGAAATGAGGAATCATCCTTTGGACAAAATGTCAGGGATCCTGGAACTGAGGATACTATTAGTGAGAGAAATACACACTTTCAGACATGGAAAAAGAGGGTATTCTTCAGAAAGCAGTGGGATCCAAGGGACCAGAGATTTCCAGTGAGATCAAAAGGAGTTAGGGACCATCAGCAGGAGACGTCATGGTCTGAGAAACAGTGAAGAAGCTAGTGCCCAGAGGATAATTCTCAGCACGCACACCTCTGGACACAGAAACAATGCAGCTAAAGAATATAACAGCCAGAGTAAAATATACAATGTTGGGAGATAATTTTATAAGAAATTGTAATCTAAAAAATTCAGGCGGGGTGTCCCAATGAAACTACAACAGGTCTGGCACTTGTATGTGCCCATCCAGGTTAGATTTCCAACATCCCATATCATTTCCCGAGCACTGCCAGCTGTAATTCCTTAGTACATAGCTAGAAGTAACCCGCAGCATAGGTGGGTGTGCCCCTTCCCCCCAAAATGCAGGTGGGATGCCAGAGAGTTGGTACAGGAATGCGATGCACATGCTAGCCCCAGTTTTATCCCAGGAATCCTGAACATTTTCAGGAGAGGACTGAGCACAATATAAGGATTAAGCACTAAGCACCACCTAGTGATACCCCAAAAGTAAATCAACAAAGAGAGACAGGAGTATTTATATATTATATGGCTGGAGCGATAGCACAGCAGTAGGGCATTTGCCTTGCACACAGCCAGACTGGCCGAGCCGGGTTCGATTTCTCTGCCCCTCTTGGAGAGCCCAGCAAGCTACCGAGAGTATCTTGCCTGCGATATATTCAATATGCCAAACACAGTAACAAGTCTCAAAAAAAAAAAAATGGAGATGTTACTGGGCCCGCTCGAGCGAATTGATGAACAATGGGAGGACAGTGTTTGTTTTGTTTGTTATAATTATATATTATAATAATAAATATTATAGAATGATTTTTAGTTAGAAAAAGTGGTAGTGAGAGATAGGGATATAATTAATAAGATTAAGAGCTTACTGTAATATAAGATATTTTACTGATTATAAAAACATCAAATAATGAATCAATTTTATTAATTTGAAAATTTTGTTAATAGAAGTAAAAGGTAATGTTAATGGCAATGAAATTATAGTTAAAAGTTTAAAGAATCTACTCATAGGTATAGAAAGATAAATCACAAAAAGAATAAATAAAGTAACTAACTTTAAATAATAAACTAGATCAGATGGGTTGAAACATTTTTCTTTCAAAGAGAAATTAAAACAAATAGAGACTCAAAAACATTCTTCTTATTAGTAATTGAGTCTGTTAGGAAATCAAAAAACTTAAGAAATATAAGGAGAAAAACAAAAAGGAATGCATAAATAATCAAAGTATGTGAGATGCAGTGAAACATGAACTTAAAGTTAATAGTTAACAGTCCTTTATTAAGAAGTCATAACTTGAAATAAACAAGGTAATCTTGAATCTAAACAATTAACATTAAAATAAATAAATCCAAAAGTTAATGGGAGGAAAGGAATCTTTGAAACTACATTAAGGAAAGTAAAGGCACTACAAATCAAAATTTGAATCTCCAAGTTTTCTTCAGTGATCTGATACAACTGGCAAAGACAATACAATAAAAAATAAACAAATGGAACTACATAAAATTAAAGAGCTTCTGCATTAAAAAAGAATAGGCTATATCACCCTTGACACCAGTGTTTAGAGAGGAGGAGGATGAGAAACCTGAGGTAGAAGAAAATAAAAAGAAATGGCTGAACAGGCATCAGGCTTTTAGTGATATGAGTGAGTGGTATAGCCTACATCCAAAACACAGACTGAATACAGCTGAGAACATGAGCTCTAAGCTGTAACCACTGAATCTTTGTAATGTGCCTACCAAGTTGACAGGCATGGATGGGGCAAGTGTTGGAGTGGGGAGGGAATATGAGAAAACTAGTGGAGAAAAGTTGACACAGGTGGTGGAATTGGTGTTGAAATATTATGTGTCAAGAACTCAACCATAAATAACTTTGTAAACCACAATTCTCTAATAAAAAAATTTAAAACTAAATTTCAGGACTAAAAAGAATAAGAAGTGTTAAGTATTAGAAACAATTAACTTCGACTAGAACAACTTAATCAATTTAAAAAGTAGCAAATTAAATTCAACTATACACCATGAATGTCTGTCATTGCATATGGTTTCCTGAGAACCACCAGAAGCTTAAATCTTAAATCTAAACAACTAACATTAAAATAAATCCTTGAGCACAGAACCAGGAGTAGGCCTTGACCAAAGTGTTTGACCTCAAACCAATGTGTGTGTGTGTGTGTGTGTGTGTGTGTGTGTGTGTGTGTATTTACATGAGTAGGTTGTTCACCCTCTCCATTTCTATTTAATTTAGCGTTAATGGTTTTATTGCCCTTTATGTGATAGATCACTGTTCCATTCCTGGTACTCCCTATAATCCCAAATCTCAGATATGTTTTGATCCCTGTGATTAGAGCCAGGAGTAAGCCCTGAGCACAGCAGTTCTGGTTCAAAACAAATGGGAAAAAAAATATGTTGCATTCCTACATGAGAAGTATGAGGAGAAAAGAAATTTAAGAAAATAATCTTATTTACATTTGCAACCATCATTAAATTTGTAATAAATTTAGCAAGGGAATTTAAAAATCTATACAATGAAAATACTATAAGACATGGTGGAAAATAAAAATACACCAAGACTTGTTACTGTGTTTGGCATATCGTATATGTCATGGGGAGCTTGCTAGCCTCTGCTGTGCAGGCAGGATACTCTCGGTAGCTTGCCAGGCTCTCCAAGAGGGACAAAGGAAGCCAACCCTGGTTGACCACGTGCAAGGCAAACACCCTACTCACTGTGCTATCGCTCTAGCTCAATTTATTTTATTGTAGTGTAATTCACAATAAATAAAACATGTAAGTGCCCACTGAAAATTGGAAATATATGTATATATACGTTACATATTGATATTAATGGAATTCTCATCCTAAAAATATTTTTCTTTTTGCAATTGCACCAAAAATAAAAGGAACTTAAACAAACAAGAAGAAAATACAGAGTGTTCAACTTTTAGCAAAAAACTTAGTAAATTCTCAGACAAGGACTTAACAATACCTTTAGTTGTATAACAATTTTCACATAAAAATGATATTTAGACTTTTTGATTTTAATATCGGAGCTTTGTTATCCAATTTCAATTTTAGAACTGAAGAAAAGAGAAAAAAACGACTCGACTTTCTATAATGATGACAAAGAGGAAATGTAGCAGCTATAGTTACAGCAAATAAGAATATCCTTTGGGAAAAAAGGTATCAACGGAAAGCCAAATAAATTAGATAATAGAAATATCTTGGTTTTGGGCCAGAGCGATAGTAGTAGGGTGCTTGTCTTATACTCTGCTGAGTGTTTGATCTCACATTTTAGCTCACCAACTGATTTTCTGAGACTGCCAGAAGAGTGTTCTCTCTCTCTCTCTCTCTCTCTCTCTCTCACACACACACACACACACACACACACGCACACGCACACACACACACTCACACACACACAGTTTATTTAACTTATAGTGTAATCAGGAAATAAAACTTACAAATGGACAAAAATAAAATAATCCAGGTGACAGTAACCACAAGAAAGGCATTACCAAATGAATGGGAAAAAGGGTGAATGAAGCTGAATGAAGCTTACGGGAAAGAGGAAAGAAGTGACCTTTTATTTTTAATTTTTGTTTTTGGGATACACCCTGCAGTGCTCTGGGATTATTCCTGGCTCTGCATTCAGACATCACTCTTGGTAATTTCACCGGACAGTATAGGATGCCAAGGATCAAACCCACTTGGTCCATTGCAATGCAAGCACCCTACCCTCTGTTCTATTATTCCAGCCCTAAGAAATGATTTTTTAAAGTATTTATTTTAATTTAATTTATTTATAAATTAAATTTTTAATTTTGTTTTTAAGTTATGTTTGGAGATGCTCAGGGATTACTTCTGGTGCTTCACTCAGGAATTACTCCTGACCTTGCTCTGGGAACCATAGGTCATATGATTCCCAACCTGGATTGACGATGCACAAGGGAAATGTACTATCGCTTCGACCTCTGAATTAAATTTTTGATTGAATACTTATTTTTAAATTAAATTTAAATTTTAAATATCCCATTAATTGTGGGGAAATAAGCAATTGTTTACTCCATTAGGAAACTAATAAATAAATTATTTATTGTTTTATTCATAATTCAAAAGCTTTATGCTTTTCATTGATTACAAAAATTGTATCATATCTGCTTTTTCTCCTATAGTTATTATATCTATTTTGTGTCTCGATATTTTTCAGATTAACTCTTTCACAATTTTCAGTTTCACTTCCAAATTTGGTTATGGAAAATAAAACTTTTGTATTATGACCATCAGGCAATTACTAACTTTAATAAAATACATATTTAGAGCAAATACCAGACAAAAAATAGAAATATTACATTTTCCAAATAACTTTGAACACTGCATATCTGGATCTTTGCATTCCCCATTATAGCAATAGGAAGTGAAATTATTGCAGGGCTCTAAATCGAGAGCCCTTATATTAGGACCACAGGACTCTGAGGTTCCACTGCAAAACTCTGGAAAATCACACGGATCGGTGCTTTCTCTACATAGGAATCCTCTTTCTTTTATCTATGAGAAAATGGGAAATAAAGTACCATATTAACAAGGTAGAAAAGAAATAATTGTAATTCTTATTTCAATTATTTTACAATTTCACATTATAAATATATATTTATAAATTTGCATAACTGCTTTGATGAAATTGAAAAGAGTACATTAGTATATAGTAGAGAGATTCTGGTATAAAAATACAAGGATATTTTTAACCATGTAAATAAATGATGAATACTTATGCATTTTACAAGTTTGATAAACCTCATAAACATACAAAGTAAGAAAGCTGTGTACCACATACAGTATATGAATGTAAAACATTCAGAATAAGTAACCACAGAATATGTGATCCATAGAAAGAAAGCACAGGCTGGAGAATGAAAACAAGTAAGAGTAACCAATTTGTAGGTAGGGGATTTTCCACTTACTCGTGACCATGTAATGAAACAATATGGAAGTAGTACTTATACAGTATTATAAATACTTTATATATATATTTATAGTACTGTATATGATGTAGTATATAAGATGAATTGTGCCTTATACAATTAGCCTTAGGAAGGCTAATTTCATCTCCTATGGACTTAATTTAAAAAATATTTAAAAACCTTAAAAACCAATGATTCCATTGGCAAAAGAAATAAAAATAAATTGGGTTCTCTTAGGTATTAGACTCGATTTATTGTTCAGGTTGAAGGGACCACAAGATGTACATAACCTGACACTGACAACTATGAATTCTGGATGACAGCATTGGTCTTTTCATGCTAGGCTACAGTTTACCCAATAAGATATTGACAGTAAATGTCCAGCAATGGCCTCAAGCAACATAAAGAGAGTCTCTGGACAGAATCTGCAAATAAGGCTCAAAATGTCATACAAGCCTACACAAAACCAAATCCTCACCTCCAGACCTCATATCACTCAAGAGAATGATTAAACAGGAATTCACCTGCATTAACAGAGAACAAAAGCCCCATAAGGAAATCAAACAACAAGAACCCTCTAAACTTATAGGTAAAAATGATAAAGGAACAATAGAAAGGACACTTACTAAATTGAGGGGGGTTATCGGAGAGAGCTCCAAGCAAGTTAAAAAAGAGTACCAGAAAATTTAAATTAAAATTTTCCAAACTGAAGACATAGTAGGTGAAATTAACAACAGCAGAATGAGGAACCACTGCAAGAAAATGATAGAATCTGAAGAAAGAATCACTCTACAAAATAAAATGAAAACATCTAAAATTAGCAGATTAAGGAGAAAGTAATCTAGAAAAAAAATGAATATAAGGAGTTTATGGGAACACTCCAACATCTACATTATGTGATTTATGGAGGAAAAGGAAAGGGAGAATGAAAAAAGTATCAGTGAGAGAACATAGTGGAAAGAATAGGTGAAAATGAAGAGAGTCAAGAAAAATGAAGAAAACAAAGCCATGTATGGAGCAATTTAAGAAAATTAAAAATAGGGACTGGAGCGAAAGCACAGCTGTTGGTGTTGCATGGTGCCAACCCGGGTTCAAAACCCAGCATCCCATATGGTCCCCAAGCATTGCCAGGAATAACTCCTGAGTGCATGAGCCAGGAAGTAACCCCTATGTATTGCTGGGTGTGACCCAAAAAGAAAAATATTAAAAATGAAATGATAGGAGTTTTGAAAGGAGAAGAAAGAGATAAATGAGGAAGATCTATTAGTGGAAGAAGTTATGTATGAGAAATTTTTCAATCTAACATATCATATACCAAGATCCTAGAAAATCAAAGAGTGAAAACAAAATAAACACAAATAAAAGAACAAGACACATATTAATTTAAATAGTGAAATCCAAAGATATAGAAAGAATATTGAGGGTAACAATATTAAAGCAAGAACTTGCTTATAAGGTATCCCTACATAAAAGGCACAGCAGCTCTATCAAATAAAATTTTACCTGACAGAAGGGGAGGTTGATTTTATGATAAAGTCAACATGTTGAATGAAATCAGAAATTAAACAAGAATAATCTTACCCACCTAAGTTATCACTCAGACTTGAAGGAGTTACACACACTGATACAGACAAACGAAAACTAAATAAGTTCATGATCAATAAACCAATTCTGCAGATCAATAAATGATCTGTAAAAGGCTATTGAACTCTACCTGGAAGTAGTAAGATACTCAAGACATGAAACAAGAAGGAAGAGATTACTAATAAGCTGCAATATTTAAGCTTATTATTTAAGGCTTCATGTATTTTGAAATTAAGACTGTATATAAACTCAGGCCTCCAGAAGTAAATGTTAAGTTATACTAAAACAAACCATATTCAGAAAGCGCAAACCAGAAAAGGCAACAGTTCCTGACCACTATGTAGGAAAGTATTAAAGGACACGAGAATTCAATTAGAAGGGCTAAAGGAACAAGAAACAATTTCATAAGCATCTAAGATTCATAGTAAAGGATGACAATGTATTATTTTATATCATTAATTTCACCTAATGCTAATTGCCAGAACTTACCAATCAAAGGTAGTGTGATAAATCAATAAAAGTAACCGAACTTTCTGATTCTTAGAAGAGATGGATATTAATTATAATAATAGACAAATAAAAGTAAATTATTGGAGAAAATGGCAAAGAGTATCATTAACTATGCTTGAGAAGACATTTATATAGACAAAATGTACCTTAAATTCAAATGTTTGTAAACAAGAGTAGACATTACATAGGGATAAAATGATGCTATAATCAGGCCAGATCAATACTTGTAACAGGTAATGTACTCATTTCTAAAATAATTGATTACAGAAACATGAACATTAAAATGACAATGAGACATCACCTAACACAGTGAGAAAGACATAACAAGCATCACAAAGTATCTGTTCTGGGATGAGACAGAAACTTTCACTAAGTGCTGGCGAGGCTGTTGTTTGACTCAGCCTCCATGGAGACTTCTTAAAAAATTAAAAATAGAAGTTTTATTGGACACTGACTCTGGTCTTTGACATAGCCCAAGAATACAGAAGTGTTAGTCTTTGACATAGTCCAAGAATACAGAAATATTAATTCACAAAGTTTTATGTATACTTGCATTCATTTCAATACTCTTTATCATAGCCAAGATCTGAAAACACCACAAATGCCCACCAAGATATGAGTGGGGGAAAAAAATCTGTGGTATATGTACTCAGATAGTGAAGATAAAAAAGAAAAATCTTGCATTCCATTACAACTTGAATGAAATAGGGGGTGCTAAACAAAGTGAGTCAAGAGAAAGATAAACTCTCTAATACTGAGTCTAGGGAAATAAAAAAAGGGAATACACAATGCTCAATGAATCAAACACTGAGATACTGTCAAGAGAATTAAGGCTATCAACTGATCGTTGGGAAAGGACTGATAAAGGAGGCATCTAGGGACAGTGTAGGTGAATTGCAATAACATTTTAAACCTAGAGCATCAATTTTAATGAATGGTGCATCTTTATTATTGATAAAAATAATGAAAATTATGATCAAACTCGAATCATGAAATAAAATAGTAAGAATATTACCTGACAAGTGTTTTTATCACAACAAGGTCCACTGCCACACTTTGAATTCCCACGCAATTCACAGGTTTTAGGGTTACAACATTTTGGATGAGTACATAGCTACAAACAAGTACACAAGTTAATAGCAGAAATATGTCATTATTTTTAGGTGCAGGATTATACAATAAAGACCAATTACAGAAATTATTATGTTCTAGATCACATAAATATAATAAAATCACTCTTTATGATTATGCATTATTTGCAAAACTGATGCGTCATTTGTATTCTTTAAAAATTAGTTTAATGGAGTCAAAACTCATTTAAGTGTTTATATTTGTTTCTATATTATTTACATTCAATGTGATAAAAGTTAATATATATTAGCTTTGAATTTTTTCATATTATTGTGACAATTTTATAATTCATTCCCATATTTCTGTTAGGATAGACTGTTTATTTTCTTGTTTATAAGTACTGAAACATTGTGTGAAGGTGTTTAGTAATATATTGTGGAAGAAGTTTCAATGTTGGATATTCTTTACCAGAATAAATCATCTGTTTTTGTTCATAAAATTATAATTTATTCCTGACTTTTTTATAGATTGGATTATCAAATAATTTATCCAAAGATAAACTGGATTATATTTTGTCAAATATAAATTTAGATAAGTATCCATACTTAATACTAACTGGAAATTTGCTAAGGTATATAGAAAATGTTATAATTTTACTATTTATGTTTGCTTGCCACTCCCAGTACTACTAAACCAGGTAGGCTAGAAGGTTCAATGAGAAGGTACAAGGATGCCAAGAGTGTCAGGATTTCCAGGACCACATCAATGGCTGTACAGAATTATGTTCAGTCGCACTTAGAAAGACAAAGGTACTAGGAAAATGGGAACTGAACTCGAGTCCAGAAAAAGCAAAACCTATGCACTTGAGCCCTCCGACCCATATCTACTTTGTTCTTGCTGTCTATTCTGGGGCAGAGGAGCACAGCTGACAGTGCTCAAAGCTAACTCCAGCTGGGACCATGTGATGCAGGAAGTAAATTAGGAGGTTCCTGCAAGAAAAGCATAAGCTCCAACCCTTTGTAACATGTTTTAAACTTACAGAAATTTAATATTTATTTTTTATAATCATGTTAAAATAAGAAATGTATATTATGCTTTACATTATCAATATTTTAATAAAAAATTTCAAGTGACAATCGAACATAAAATACGTATTTGATATTGGGGGAAAAGTAAGAATAAATAGCAATAAAGATAAAACTCTAAACCTAGGCTCAAAGAGAAAACGTACATGAAAAATTTGATTCATCAACATTAAGTGAATGAAAATTTACATTATAAATTCAACTCAGAAACTCACCTTTTCTTTTTTTTATGTAGGAGTACTGCTATTTATTCAGCCACTGATTAGGCTGATTGAATTGGGCATGAACTCCACCTTACTTTTTTTTTTCATTTTTTATAATTTCATTTATTGAAACACCGTGAGAGCAGTTACAAAGCTCTCGGGTCTAAGATTTGGTCACAAAATGAAACACCCATCTATTCACCAGTGCCCATTCTCCACCACCAAAAACACCAGTGTACCTCCATCCCACACCCTTCGCCCACCTGTGGGACAGACAATCTCCAAATCACTCTCTCTCTACTTTGATTACACTCAACATTTTGACACCAGACCCACCATTATTATTTGGGATTCTACCCCAACACTCAGATCCACCAAAAAGGTAACAGTAGACAATTTGTTTTCTATTGCTGGTCATGAATAACATATGATGTCGCATGGCTGCAGTAGTGGCCGCGGATTTTGAAATTCTAAAATTTTAACAATTAAATCTGCAGGGATTTCTGCCCAAACCTGCTGGACTTTGAGACTTGTTCCTGAGTCTCTGGGATCATGGCTGTTAAGCAGCTTGATCAGGAGCCAGAGAGGCCATTAGTAGGTGGCAACTTGGGGTCTTACGTATAGATGGTGAGGAAAGGGCCGGCTCCACCCCCATCCCGTGAGGCCTCTCATGTCTTGTCACTGAAGGCCCAAACCTGACTGTCCAATGGCCACTGGAAGGTGGCAGCCACCGAACTGCCAAGTGGGAGCAGGCAGAGGGACAGCACCCTTTTCCCTCTGGAATGGTCTGGCGGCAGTAACCTACTGAGGGGTCTGGACGTATTTCTGCCAAGAGCCGCTGGGTTCCAAGATTTGTTTCTGAGTCTCTGGAATCATGGCCATGAAATAGCTAGATCAGGAGCCAGAGAGGCCGTTCGTGGGCAGCAACTTGGGGTCTCACTGGGATAGGGAGGAAAGGGCTGGCTCTACCACTATACCGTGAGGCCCCATATGTCTCATCACTGCAGGCCCAAACCTGACTTTTCAGTGGCCTCTGGAGGATGGCGGCTACTGGGCTGCCAGGGGAAACAGAACAATGCATGAAACTTATTCCCACCTGGGGTGGCCCAGAGCTGGTAACCTACTGCGAAGACTGGACGCATTTCTGCCAAAAGCCGCTGAGTTCCAAGATTTGTTTCTGAGTCTCTGGGATCATGACCATTAAGCAGCTTGATCAGGAGCCAAAGAGGCCATTAGTGGGCAGTGACTTGTGGTCTTGTATGGACAGGGAGGAAAGGGCTGGCTCCACCCCCATCCCGTGAGGCCCTGCGTGTCTTGTCACTGAGCGCCCAAACCTGACTGTCCAATGGGCCCTGGAAGATGGCGGCCACCGAGCCTCCCAGGGGGAGCAGGCAGAGGGACAGCACCTTTTCCTCCCTGGGGTGACCCAGCGACAGCAACCCACTGCGGGGTCTGGATGCATTTCTGCCAAAAGCTGCTGGGTTCCAAGATTTGTATCTGAGTATCTGGGATGATGGCAGTTAAGTAACTTGATCAGGAGCCAGAGAGGCCATTCGTGGGTGGCGACTCGGGTTCTCATTGGGACAGGGAGAAAAGGGCCGACTCCAACCCCATCCCATGAAGCCCCACATGTCTTGTCTCTGTGGCCCCAAACCTGACTGCCCAGGGGCCTTTAGAGGATGACATCCACTGAGCCTCAAGGGGCACAGGCCAAGGCACAAAACCCATTCCCACCTGGGGTGTCCTGGCACAAGAAACCTACCGCAGGGACCGGATGCATTTCTGCCAAAAGCCACTGGGTTTCGAGATTTGTTTCTGAGTCTCTGGGATCATGGCCGTAAAGCAGTACAATCAGGAACCAGAGGCCATGACTCCAATTATATAGCTGAGCCAGAGGTGGTTTGTGGGTGTGTCTTCCACATACCTAACTTTTGGCCGTTTACTTTCTTGGTAAACTTTGCCCCAAGTTTTTGGGGTCTGGCCAAAGGCGCAGCAGCAATTTTGGGGTATCTAGAAGTCTGAAGGCGTCATCAGGCTGCTGATGCACTCGCCTCATAGGTACAGATTGACCTGCTGGTGGCACCATACCCCCATCACCTTTTCTTTAGTTAAAAAAATTTTAACAAGTAATTTTGGTGGAGACACAGTGATTTACAATAATATTAATGTTAGTGCTGTGGGTAGATAGACTGTTTGCCTTGCACACATCTGCCTTATATTCTTACTGAGACAGCACATATGGCCCTTCCAAGCACTGCCAGGAGCAATATCTGAATATTGAGCCATATCTAAGACCTGAGCACAGCTAGGTGAAGTTCAAAAATCAACAACTGTACCCCATGGTGTTTCACTAATAAAAATCTAAAAAAAAGAAAACACAGCAAAGGGGCAGAATGATAATAACGCTTGTGTAACACTCATCTTATACATAACCCAGAAGAGGTTAGTGTCTGCTACCCTATATGGTCTCTCGAGTCTGACAGAAGTGATTCCCAAGCACAGAGCCAGGAGAGTAAGCACACTGCTGGTGTGCCCCTTCTTCTCAAAATCCCCAAATATATAGATTATATAAACATAGGACACCAAAACGACTTTAAAACATAGCAACATTATAAAAAATTGATATATTCTATATTTGAAAGTAAAAAGTTAACTTCTAGGAAGACACAGTAATTGTTAATTCTAAAAATAGTTTGAAATATATAAAATAACTTTAAGTCTACATAACATTTATTGAATATATTACAGTTAAAATTAAAAAGAAACAATATATTTGGATTTATCAATATTTTTCAACTACCAAGAGTTTAGGTAATCAATATTAACAAAAATGCAAAAGATTTAAGATACTCATTGAAAAAATAATGATTCAAAAGGAAGATAATTTTCTTCCCTATGTAGAAATGACATCTTTTCAAGAAAATACAAAACCTTCAAAAGATATCACCACGAAGAAAATCTTAGAAAGCACAAGTAAATAAAAAAAAATTAGTTCTTTTTTCCAATAAAACAAACAAAAAATAAAAAAAACCAAAAACCAAAACCTTATAACAAGAAACTTCAAAGAACCGGTTGCATGCAGGACCTTCAGTTTTTATATCTGGCACCATATGGCCTGCAAAAGACACTCTCAAGCATCAAGCTCAGAGTAGCCTCAAGCACCATCTAGAGGTGATGCTTTTTGCAAAAACAAAACACAACAAAAGACCGTGAGCAATTCCAATCTGTTTGTGAATTTTCCCAGAAGAGACTGAAATTGGTACTGCAGAGGTAGTAGAGTGGGTATGGTACTTGCCTCACTTGACCTTGTGTGAGGTTCTATCTCTGACAGTCTATATGGCCTCTGAGCACAGCCAGGAAAGGTCCCTGAATTCAGAGTCCAGATTAAGACCTGAGCAGAGCTGGGTGTTGTACCCCAAGAAACAGACTCACCTTAATAGAGGAAATAATGAGAAATTTAATAAAGAAGCAGACATATTGAATCATTAAGAAATACTTCAGATTATTATTAAATTATAATCATATATATCCAGTGATATATTGATATTCTATAATATATATTCTATAATATATTGTGTATTGATATACATTGAGATTTGCAATAAAATTATAACTTCTGATTTTTTCTCTTAAAATATATAATTTCATAGTACCTAATGAATATCAAACAGATAAAATTTAAAATTCATGTATTTGTAATATACAATTTTATATATCCAGTTCTTATTAAAAATTATTTAAAATCTGTGGTGTTTACTTATTTTTTAACCCTGCATATTCAGTTCTACTTCCTTCAGAAAGATAACCATTTAAACCATTATTATTATTAATAGAAAAAGATGTTTACTGTTTTATTCTCTGACATTCATGATACAGAAGAGTGGACTTTGATCTAGTCATAACACAATGTAAAAAATTATTTCTGTAATTCATTTATGCCATAGTTAAATTTTAATACTTAGGTAACTGAAGTATATGCTTTATGATAAAAAACATTGTTATACTTTAGAAGAACTCACCTTTATATAATACTTGCATGACTAAATCAAGACAAAATCCTAGCTTTAGACAATACATTAATACTTGAAACTAACCTTTGGTAGACCACAGTCGCAGTGTTCTGAAGATTCCTTAATCCCATTTCCACAGATTACTTCAGGTCTTTTCTTTGGGTTATTCACTTTATAAGCTACTTTCTTCTGAAGACATTCAAATTCAGGATTAGAAACTACACGTATAAATTCATCTCTGCTGCAGCTGCTAAAAAGCTTTACACCACGGGAATGCCTAAAAACAAATTACACCCAGCTAAATGAAATAAACTCATTATCAAAATACTCTTCTAAAAGCGTTATAAATTTTCACAACTTCACTTTAGAAAATAAAGAAGAGTAACTTGTCAATAAAAGAAGTTCTGTTTAAGTATTTGTTTTATATATAATTCACATTACTGACTATGGAAAAAATACATTTATTTCTCATATCATTTATAACTATTATGACAATTGAATAAAGCAGTACAATAAAATTAGTCACTTTTTGTTGAAAATTTAAGGAATAAAAAACATTGGTATTAATGCAAAGACCAGTATTTTTTCTATACTTCTGTGTACTGTGTAATGAGTTCCTATTTTGTAATAATCTCAAGGTTATTGTAATTATGCATATATAGTATAAATAATAACTTTTGTATCCTGAAACAAAAATATTAATTTATCAACAAGATGTTCCGGTAACTTTAAACATTTTAATATGTAATTTTGAATATAAACGAATTATCCTAGACAAGGTCTTCAATCTCAGAAGTAATATTCTTTCTCATTTGGGAGAGGGATTTTGAGTCATATCCAGTTATACTCAGGGCTCTACACTCAGGGATCACTCCTGGTGCCTTCAGAGGACCATATAGAGTTTTAGGGATCAACCCAGGGTAGCTTCATGCAAGGAAAGTACCTGAACTGCTGTCCTATCTCTCTGGATCAAGCTTTATGGTTTCCAGTTAATTATTTGGCAAAATCCCCTCTCAGATTTAGATCATGTAATGTTATATATCTATTACAAAAGTATTTTGTTCAGCTCGTTTTATTGCATTTTAACAAATATCACACAATTTGAATTTCAAAGCTTTGGTGGTATTCCAAAGTTATCTCTCCCAGCCTTTGTGGTTTGGGGCAGCTGTTACAACAGATTCAGTCTCCCTTAATTTCTAAAAGCAACTTAGTATGATGATGGCTAACCCATTTTCGATCCCTGTTCCTCAAGATCTGGTTTGTGCACTTAGAATTCAGATTCCCTGTAGTCATATCTAAACTTTCCAAAAGATTTCATTATTCATTCATGTTTCCTTTTCTCAAGTAATGTCTTTTTATTCTGTTCATTAAGTGTGATATCAAACCTATACATAATTCTTGTTATTGCCTTTTCACTCACCTGAACATACTACTACATTTATGAAATGGTGCCTTTCTGATTTACTATGCTATTATTTCTAATATCAGTTCTATTATTTATCATAGATGGAGGTAGGGTCATGGCTGGCCATACCTGAAGAGTTCAGGGTTTGTTCCTGGTTCTCTCCTCAGAAGTGACCCCTGATGGTGCTCAGGGACCATATGTTGTGCTGGAGATTCAAACCAGGGTCTAGGCTGCCACTGCATTTGCAGGACAAGTACCCTACCTACTGTTCATTTCTCTTTGGATTCAAGATTATATTTTATTATCCATACCATATAAATCAAATCAGTTTAAAATGTAATATATTTTTATAAAAGGGCAATGTCTACTTCACTATTGCTTAATAAGCTTTAAGTTCATTCTTATATTTCCAATTTTTTTTTTGCTCAGCAATGATCAGGGGTTACTCCTGGCTCTGCATTAAGGAATTACTCCTGGCGGTGCTTGGGGCACCATGTGGGATGTAGGTGATTGAACTCAGGCCGGCTGCGTGCAAGGCAAATAAATGCCTTATCCGTTCTACTATCACTCCGGCCCCTATATTTCCAATTTTACATGTAGGAACTTATTACATTACTGATATTTTTCTCCCTTCATTTTAGTCTGTTCTACACACATATACACACACAAACACACACACATGCACATATATATGTTCCAGATATATATGCATATATATGTTCTATGTGTATGTTCTACATAAACATACAAGTTCACAGACACATACAAACAAAAGTATACTGACCCACACACAAAATAAACATTTATACACAGATATATAATTTTCATATGTACGTTACATACATACACACATATGTATGTATGTATTTGGGGGGCAGAATATTTTGTTGTATGTGTCTTGTCAATTTGTGTGTAAGATATGAAAAGAGGGGATGAGAGAAAGCTCAGAGAGGGCTGAGTTCCTACTTTGCTAACAGGAGGCCCAGGACAGATACCAAGCCCTTCACGATCACTCAGCACTGCTAGAAGCACTCCTGAACATTAAGTTGACAGTAAACCCTTAGTAACAATGATATGACCTTTTCCAAATAGGCAAAAAAATAGCTGTGACATTGTAGATATTATTTCATATATATAGAGTACAAAAGATGATTTAGATTTTACTCAAATTCTACTAAAACTCAAAGTCATCAACATTCACTTTCTTGCTATAGTATTGAAAATTAGGACTACTAGGTCATTTAGTGCCAATATAAAATTCTTCTGGGACTCAATACAAGGTAAATTATCACATAGTATTGAATAATAATATTTTTCTCAAATTATATTGTAAGAAATTACAAAGAATAATAAAACATTTCTCAAGAAAAAATATGATAAAAACAACACCTTACATAGCCTCAGGATTCATTATGCATGCAGTTCTTGAACAATGACAATTGCTGGCCTCTTCATAACTTAAACCGAAACTGACTCCAATCAACTGCGCCATTATAACTGAAAATGATTCCAAAGATATCATCTTTGGATACTAAATTTAAAAAAGAAACAAATGAATGTTGCTTATTGTTTGTTCAACTCTTCAATATTTTCAGATATTTATGTTAATATTATATAACTTTATAATCATATTTACTTGCATGCTAAAGTTCATTATTTTCATGCAAATATAGAAAAATAGGTAAATTTGTTACTTTTATTTTAGATTTTTTGACAGAACAGATAGTGCTGTTGCATATTTTACGTACTTACTTAAGATCTAAAAATAACACTAGTTCATTTACTTTATCAATTTTCAAGTAAACACATGAAAATATAGTAATAAGGTTCAGTTGATAATAATAATTTCAGAAATCATTTTAGGAGTTATTTAATCTAAATTATTTTCATGAAATTACCAGCTTGAAAATTGACAATTGCAGGATATGTTGTTTTCAATTTTGGTAATTATTAATAAATCTTTATATTTATTAATAAGAATCTGCCATCAGTGCTCATCGATATACTGGCTCAGCTCTTCACACGCTACCTGTCTGAACGCAAGGTTACATCCCAGTGGAAAACCAGCAGGACCGTTCTACTGTACAAGAAGGGAGATATCCATGACATTGGCAACAATCACCTGATCTGCCTGTTGTCTGTTGTCTACAAGCTGTTCACTCGAGTCATCCTGAAGAGGATTAGCAGAACACTAGATGAAGGACAACCTGTGAGCAAGCTGGGTTCGGAAAAGGATTTAGCACAATCAACCATATCCACACGGTAACCAAGCACATCGAGGTTTCTCGGGAGTTCAAGATGCTGCTCTGTCTAATGTTCATTGATTTAAAGAAGGCTTTTGATTCTGTTGAGACTGAGGTGATCATTGAAGCCCTAGCCAAACAGGCCGTTCAAACTCAGTACATCAGGATCCTCCGTGAGCTGTATTACAGATTCACTACCAGTATCTCACCATTCTACAAGGAAGAGATCGTTGATGTCAAGAGAAGGGTTCGGCAGGGTGATATCATTTCACGGAAACTCCTCAATGCCATCCTTGAGAATGTCATGTGACGACTGGAATGGGAAGGAATGGGAGTGAAGATAGACGGCTGCAATTACACCACCTCCGCTTTGCTGATGACATCATACTAATATCACCAAACATTAACCAAGCAGCATAAATGCTGGCCGACTTTGAATGTGAGTGTGGAAACGTCGGACTTCAGCTGAATCTCACCAAGACAATGTTTATGAGAAACGGACTCCTTCCTGATGTTCCATTTGCTCTCAATGGAACGAACATCTCCGAATGCAGCAGTTATGTGTACCTACATCAAGAACTCAACATGATGAACGACCTGGCACCTGAATTGCACAGGAGGGAGAGAGCAGCAGGGAATGCCTTCAAGAGTGTGGAAGAAATAGCTAAAAAGACAAAGAAACTTTGGTTCCAGGCACTTCTTTTTGACTCCACCATTCTTCCTGTATACGCCTCAGAGACCTGGGCCCTACGCAAACAGGATGAGAACGCTATTCGGGTCTCCCAAGGAGGAATTGAAAGAGCTATGCTTGGAGTATCACACTTTACTCAAGTAAGAGAAGGAATTTGAAGTTCTGACTTGCATCAACGATCAAGAATCAAGGATGCTGTGTCATTTGCCAAGGCGGCGAAAATCAGATGGACTGGACGTATAATGCGATTTGGAGATGACCACTGGACTAGAGCTGTTACTGACTGGATTCCATAGGACGTCAAAAGATCACGTGGTCATGTGGCTGCCCACCTATGAGATGGTAAGACTTCTTCGTCAAGACCCTGAACGAACAGTTTGAGGCTCTTCATTTTCCTGGAGCCAGCAGATGCCATTGGGCTACACTAGCACGTGACAGGGAAAAATGGAGACATTACTGGTGCTCTCTCAAGCAAATTGATGAGTAACGAGATGTCAAGTGATTGAGTGATTAATAAATATTAAAAAGAAGCCTACTGTGAAACTATAGGCTTTAAGACCATTCTCTTTGATATTTACCCAACCAGATGGCTTTAAACCTTTTATCTGCCAGCTGACTACACAATTTTTTTTTTTAGAAATACCCACACCATCCCCCTCCAGGTAAACTCAAGTGCATGTATGACTAACAGTTTGTTGCTGGCATCTAGAAATGTGGTGTTCCTTGAGTCAGGAGAGTACAGGGTTGAGCAGAGACAAATCAAGTAATGCTACAGGGATGGGTGGTGTCATGTGGTGCAGGATTCAATTTGGAGCAAGGTAAGCCTTCAAACACTGATCATCTAATCAGTCTCCAAAGTATTTGGAGGTTGGAGGTTTCTCATGCTTGAGAGATTCTTCCAGTGATGTTTAGAGAATCAGGTGATGCCAATGGGTGATGCTGGTCTTTCTGCATGCCAAGCCAACACTTCAATGCACAGAGCTAACTCTTTGCCCAGAACATACTTTTCTAAGTGTATTTAGAGTTTTCCCCAATAAATGTCATATATTAGGCTCAATGGTTTCATCAAAACAATATAAAATATCCTTTAAATTTTTTTCTGACTTTAATTAAATAAAAGCAAAATTAAGAACTGTAATACATAAAATAGTAGAATTTTAATAAGCAATTTTTGCACACTACTCAAAAAATAGTTGTATGGAACATTAGAAAATACTGCAAGTTACATGAAAATGAAGATAACATATTCAACTTTGTGGACAGCTAAAGATTTCCTAGGAAAATGAAATATGCAATACATATGTAGTACTGTAGTTCTGTCCTCCCATTGTTTATCACTTGCTCGAGCGGGCGCCAGTAATGTTTCCATTATGAGATATCTTGTAACTGCTTTTGGCACATTGAACATGCCACGGGGAACTTGCCAGGCTCTGCTGTGTGGGCAGGATACTCTCGGTTAGCTTGCCAGGCTCTCCGAGAGGGATGGAGGAATTGAACCAGGGTTGGCCGCATGCAAGGCAATACATATATGAGGGAAAAAAGTGAATGCCTTATATCAATAGCACATTATCTTATAAAATAATAATTACATGGGAATACAACTCCCAAACTCATTGTGTGAGGCCTATATTGCCCGGGTATCAAATACAGACATTTACAGGAAAAGAAAATTGACAATGTACAAAAAGAATGTTGATACAAGAATTTTCAAATTTAATGCTACATTAGAAGATTTGTAAATTGTGATCATGACATTGTTGCATTAAATACTCTTAAATATGTGAAAATCTATCAACTCAGTATATTTTTACAGAATGAAGGACCAAAAGAAATTTAAATTAATGCAGAAAAAGCATTTTACAACAGACACACACCATCTTAAAATTACAAATGTCAACAAACTATATATACAATCTCTGAGAAAATCCTCAGTTCTTTCTTTATAGCTCGACAACAAAATAGAAAATTTCTCTTTAAACATTTATTAACATGGCATTGAAAGACCTAATCAAAGCCATCATTAATTATATGAATAAATAATAAATAAAATGTAAAAGTTACACATCTTGGACAAAAGATGTAAAATTAACTTTGTTCATAGACTGACAATATACACCTGTAGAAACCCCAAACAATTTGATAAATGGGGCTGATAGAATAAATAAATGAATTTAGCAATGTTTCACAATGCAACTTTAATTTTTTTTTTTGGCTTTTTGGGTCACACCCGGCAATGTGCAAGGGTTACTCCTGGCTCTGTACTCAGGAATTACTCCTGGTGGTGCTCATGGGGACCATATGGGATGCTGGGAATCGAAAATGGGTTGGCTGCATGCAAGGCATATGCCCTACCTACTATGCTATCACTCCAGCCCCCACAATGCAGCTTTTTTCCCCCTTTTTTTTGTTATACTTTTTTATTGAATCACTGTGGAAAAAGTTACAAAGCTTTTAAGATTAAGTCTCAGTCATATAATGATCAAACACTTTTCCCTTCACCAGTGCTTATTTTTCACCACCAAGAACCCCAATATACTCCCCTCCCACCCCTCCCAATGCCTGTGAGGCAGATGATTTCTACTTAATTCTCTCTCTACTTTAATTACATTCATTATTTCGACAAAATATGCACAATTATTGTTTAGAATGTCCCCCCAACAATCAGAACTGCTGAAAAGGCATTGTGAAATAATTTGTTTTCTATAGCTAGTTATGAGAACCATATGATGTCGCGTGGCCGCTATTGCGGCTGCCTGATTTTAGATTTCCGATATTTTACTAGGTAAGTCTGGAGGGATTTCTGCCAAGAGCCAGATAATTACGAGACTGGTTTCTGTGCATCTGGTGTTAAGGCTGTGCAGGAGGCTGCTCATGGGGTGCAACTTGTTACCACGGTAGGGTGGTGAAGGATGAGCCAGTACCGACCCCCCCCTTTCCATGAGACTGCATTTGCCCCATCACCGCCGGCTCATACCTGGCTTTCCAATAAGCTCTGAGGCGGTGGCCATCTAGCTTCCTGGGGGGGGGGGGTGGGAGGCAGAAGGGAGCAACATCTTTCCCTTCTGGGGAGTCATGGTGCCATAGTTTAACACATCGTCCATTCACTTTTCTGCAGCAAGCTCCGGGCTCTGGATTAAGTCCTTTTGCCTCTGGAGCCACGGCCGTGCTGGAGAGCCGCTCATGGGGGGGGCAACTCGTGACCTCGGTAGGGTGTGAAGGACAAACCAGTATCGCTTCCCTTCCTCTGAGATTGCAGTTGCCCCGTCACCACTGGCTCACACCTGGCTTTCCAATAAGCTCTGAGGTGGCGGCCACCTTGCTGCTGGGGACAATGCAACTTTAAAATACAGTAATGATGACTAATAAAAATTGAAGATATAATTCCAATAATAACTTTGAAAAATTTTAAAAAATTTTAAATTTAAAAAAATTTAAAAATTTTAAAAATTATATTGACATTAAAAATGTTCTTAACAAAATTACCAAAAATGCAAATACATAGAAATGCATTGCATGTTCTTTAATTATATCTAATATTATGCTCGGGCTGAGCCTCAGAGATGAGTGAAACCACATGAAAGCCAGGTAATGCGGAACTTTGTGACCCTGGACTCTGGACCCAACGGGACCCTGGAGCAGAGATCCCCTGCTTGCTTCCCCATCTCCAGCGACCCAGGGGTCACACCAAGATGCTACTCCCTGCCTGCACCAGATGATCTCCTCATCAGCCACCCTCCAGAACTCAAGGCTGCTTCTCCCAGAAGGGAGCACAAAATGGGGCTCCCATAAACATGCCACAGGACTACGCGCCAGACTGTTTTCACTTGGGATGCCCCAGAGGGGTGCGAGTGAGAGCCCTCCCCGCCCCAAGGGACCCAGCTATGGGACCTGACCTCACTACCCACCCACCGCCACGCTCCAGGCTGCTTTCCGGATCATGCAGCTGCAATGACACATTATAAGACATTTTCTACCTATTTTCCATAATTACCACACCATTTTTGATGGGGTTCAGACAGCAGGCAACAGGCAACAAATTTTAGAGAGAAATATATATATATATATATATATATATATATATATACATATATATATATATATTGAAGAGCCCGCAGGCTACTGAGATACTGAGAATGTGCCAAAAACAGTAAGTATAACAGGTCTCATTCCCCTGACACTGAAAGAACCTTCAATCGTTGGGTAAGATGAGTTAGGAGAGGCTGGTAAAAATATCAGGGCTGGGATGAATAGAGACGTTACTGATGCCCACTCAAATAAATCGAGAACAGTGGGATTACAGTGATTACAATGATACAGTGATTACTATATATGTAGCATTATGATCTCATTACCATTCAAAATGCTCTACATAGTAAATGTAATCCTAATGATACACCAACAGTTTTGTATGTGTGAAAATTAATTTTATAAATGGACAGAAGATAGTATAGTGGTCAAGACACATACTACATCAGACATGAGTATGATCCTGGGCATCACATGAAGCCCCAAGAATTGTGACCCCTGTTCCCAATAAATGAATGAATTAAATCCAAAATCCAAATAGAATTCCAACAGATGCTGAAAAATAACGATTTTGAAAATTATAAAAGTTGAAAGACTCAAATTTTCTGACTTCAATGCATATTACAAAGTTTTATAATTAAAACAGTGTGGCATGAACATAAATGTAGTAGTAGTACTATAGTACTGTCCTCCCATTGTTCATCAACTTGCTCGAGCAGACACCAGTAACATCTCCATTCTGAGACTTGTTTTTACTGTTTTTGGCTTATTGAATACATCACCGCAGCTTGCCAGGCTCTGCCGTGAGGGTGGGATATTTTTGGTAGCTGCCAGGCTCTCCAAAAGGGATGGAGGATTTGAACTCGGGTTGGTTGCGTGCAAGGCAAACGCCCTACCTGCAGTGCTATCGTTCCAGACTGAACATTAACGTAAGGCTACAAATTAATGAAATGGTGTGGAGAGCTAGAAATAAATTTTCACATATATGAACTATAACACAAATGCCAAGACCACAAAGTAAGGAAAGAAAATATTTGAAAAAGAGAATATACATTGTGTTAAATGTACCAGTTTCTTTAACCAGTCATCTGTTCTCGGACACTCAGGTTTTTTCCAGATTCTGGCTATTGTAAAGAGTGCTGCAATGAACAAACAAGTGCCGATGTCACTTCGACTATACTTTTTGCCTCTCTGGGATATATTCCCAGGAGTGGTATTGCTGAGTCAGATAGAGAAGGGAGCACCAAATAAAGGGTGTTGGGAGGATCCTCCCAGGATGGGAGAAGCATGCTGAAAGTAGACTATGGACCAAACATGATTGCCACTCATTGCCTCTTTTGCAAACCACAACACCCAAAATGAGAGAGAGAACAAAAGGGAATGCCCTGCCACAGAGGCAGGGTGGGATGGGGGGGAAGGGGGGTGTGAGGGATACTGGGATCCGTGGTGGTGGGAAATGGGCACTGGTGGAGGGATGGATATTTGATCATTATATAATTGAAATCTATGCACAAAAAATTTGTAAGTCTATAACTGTACCTCATGCTGTCTCACTAATAAAAATTTAAAAATTAAAAAAAAGAATATACATCGTTATCACAATTAATAACTGAAAAGGTAAAAATATCGATTGAAACTGTCAGAAATTAATTTTATAACTCATTAGCATAGTATTATAAACCAATTATATCTTAAAATAGTGAGAAGATACTATGTAGAGATATTTTTTTAAGAAATGAAAACTGAAAAACTGAATATTGCTCAAAAGAAAAGCAAAATGTTTGAGCCAAAACATGGAGCAGGTAGGTCACTTGCTTTGCACATGGCCATGGAGACCAGGATCTGTCCCAGCACCATATATATTCTTATGATCATGCTAAAAGTGACCACTGAGCACAGAGACAAAGGAAGCATCAAAAAGCAAGAAAAAGAAGGAAAATAAAAGTTTGATTCTTTTGCTTGCCATATACAAAAAATTCAATAGGAGTTATTAAATCTCTAATTATAAGACCCAAACTAAAAAAAAGCTTTAGAAAACAAAAAATATTAAATGCTTCATGACAGTTGATTAACAGGGATTTTTTTAATATGATGCTAACAACATATAAGTAACACAAAATCAAATAAATGGGACTACAAGTATATTTAATTTGGGGGGTTCAAAGGACATAGTCAACAAAGCTCACAAATATTTGGAAGAATGAAGAAAATATATTCAGATAACGTATTTAATAGAAGGTTGATTAAAAATTTTAAAAATCTCCTGCAATCAAAGAACAAAAGCTAAGTTATCTACTTTGAAAATTGACTTATGAGTTGAATAATAATTCTCCAAGGTTGATATGCAAAGGTTATAAAAATTTTTAAAGATATCACTAATATTTGTAGGTATAAAATAAAAATTGATATATCATTTTATATCAATTAAAGCAGATACAATATCACAGTAATAGAAAATCATATGCTAATGAGAATGCGGTTCATCTAATATGAACTCTTGGTTGATAAAGAAGCAATGAAGTAACTTTGAAAATCAATGATAATTGCTCAAGTATTAAACATAAAAATATGACATGCAGTACAGAAAACCAATTTGTGTCTATGTCTAAACGAATTCATATAAAAATCTTAAAATATATATGAATTTCAGCATCACAGCTTTAGTACAGAAACTAAGGCACTTGCTTAGCTGTAATGCTCAACATCACATGTTTCCCCAAGCACTGGAGTTATGGCTGCTTTACAACAATGTAACTATATTCCAATTATTAAAAAATACTCTTTAAAAATGTATTCATGATAATAGTATGAAAAGTTTAAAACTTTGCTATAATTACTAAAGAAATGTGAATAGAATGCATACCACAGCAACCCCGGAAGCAAATTTTGGATCACATGCCTTTCCGTGGAATGATGCTCCAACATTATTAGGGTGTTCTCTATAACTAAATAATACATTTTTTCATGAATAAATTTGCGTTAGGTAAATAATTACTGAATGGTCTTATAAAACTGAACTCAATAAAATGTTGCTTTAAAATAAGAAAAGTACATAGACATTTGCCTATTGTTTTAATATTTTTAATAATTTTAAGATGAGGAATCATTCATAGTTTTTACAAATTCCTAACAACTACTTGAACATTACAATTACATACAGCAAAAAATATCTAGTAATGCTGCGTTACCTCCAAAACACAGTCAGCTTTTTTCACCAGCATATGGATGTAATTCTAAAATGTAAAAGTCAGTATTTCTACCCCCCTAGTATTTGCACATAAGTGATTTCTTAAAATGTATGAAAAGTGTTAGATCAGAAGGTATGAGTAGAATGTCAAAATTAGGCAGCAGTGTGTATAAAATTCATATATGGCATATAAAGTGTCTTAATGTCCTGATTCACTGGAAAAGTTAGTCATGAGAGCAAGAAGGAGAGTGCCTTCCATACAGGGAGCTTGGGGTAAGGGGTGGGGGTTTAGGGGATGGTGGTGAAACAGGGGACATTGGTGGTGGGAAATGTACACTGATGGAGAGATAGATGCTGGACTATTGTATGACAGAAACCCAATTATGAACAGCTTTGTCATGGTTTCTCACAGATATTCAATTAAAAAAATTTAATAAAAAGTAATTTGGAGTTGATGCCCAATTCAATCAGCTTAATCAATGGCTGAATAAATAGTGATACTCTTACATTAAAAAAACAAAGATTTACTCATGAATCCCAAAATCTGGCATTAGATTGCACAAGAGACACCAATGAGTATATAAATATATTCCATATCTTCAAGATTTTTATAATTGTATATTTTATCCAAAACAAGATAATAAAAGTATGAAAACAAAAATTTATATCTTATTGAATTACATTGCAAAGTTGTAGATATGCAGCTTAAATTAGTACAAAATATCATAACAATCATATTTAAGTTTAAGTGTTTCTTCTATCATAATCAGGTTTATTATAAAACTGTTGAAACATGTTAGGTAATTTATATTTTATTTAAGGCTAGAAAGACAGTTCCAATTATTTTACCTTGAGAAAATCTTTGAAACTATAGCCCTCATGTCTAATCTAAAACTTTTTAAATTTTCCATAATGTTACTTTTCTAAATGTAAACAGTTCACTCTGAGAATAACTGCCCATTATAAATTAATATCTTACATGACTCTCACTTTTTTTTTTGCTCTTGGGAAATGCATTATTCACACAATATTTTATATTTTGTTGTAAATATACATTTTGTGATATATTGATATGTACTCTCAAATAAACTAATAAGTCATATATTAATGCAAATAAAGCCCATACATTAATAAGTATGCCACTTCATGGGGTCTCTGAGGCAAAAATTTCTCTTTCCAGGACACAAATCTTTGTAGTACTTCACCAACATCTCCATCAGTTTGAATCTTATTTTTATCAGACCAGATTTCCAAAGAAGACAGGTAAACAGTCACTTTTAGCTGGGAAAACATCTGTAAACAGAAAATACAGGATATATAGTGATAAATATAGTATTACATATTTATTAATGTTAATATTTAGTAACATTAATATTTTAGGGTCGAAATTTATTGGTGGTTAAAACAATCAAGAGCATTCTGCCTTTTAATGAAAAGCATGTGCAATTTCTATTTCTTTTTTATTTTTTATTAGTGAAACACCATGAGGTACAGTTGTAGACTTAAAAACTTTGGTGCTTGGGTTTCAGTTATACAATGATCAAGTACCCATCACTCCACCAGTGCCCATTCTCCACCAACAATGATCCCAGAAGCCCTCCCACCCCCCCAGTCCCATCCCCCACCACCCCACCTTGCCTTTGTGGCAGGGCATTCCCTTTTGCTCTCTCTTTCCTTTAGGGTGTTGTGGTTTGCAATAGAGGTATTGAGTGGCTATTCAGTTCTACTTTCAGCATGCATCTCGCATCCCAAGCCAATCCTCCCAACATCCTTTACTTGGTGCTCCCTTCTCTATCTGAGCTGTCTTTTCTCCCAGCATGTGCTGCCAGCTTCCAAGCCATGGAGCAGACCTCCTAATACTTATTTAAACTATTTTTGGGTTTTCGACGACCATTCTATTACTTTATATTCCCCAGATGAGTGCAGTCTTTTGATACCTGTCCCTCTCTTTCTAGGTCATTTCACTTAGCATGGTACTTTATATGTAGAACCACTTGTATGTAAATTTCATGACTTCATCTTTTCTAACAGCTGCATAGTATTCCATTGTGTAGATGTATCAAATTTTCTTTAACCAGTCATCTGTTCTCAGGCACTCAGGTTTTTTTTTCCAAATTTTGGCTATTGTGAACAGTGCAGCAATGAACATACAAGTGCAGATGTCATTTCGACTGTCTTTTTTTTTCTTTTGGGGTCACACCCGGCGATGCACAGGGGTTACTCCTGGCTCTGCACTCAGGAGTTACTCCTGGCGGTGCTCAGGGGACCATATGGGATGCTGGGAATCAAACCCGGGTCGGTCGCATGCAAGGCAAATGCCCTACCCGCTGTGCTATCGCTCCAGCCTCTCGACTATACTTTTTTGCCTCTCCGGGCATATTCCCAGGAGTGGTAGCAATTTATATTTTTGATAGAAAAAAATTTAAATAAGTAACAACAATACTCACACTGTTGATAAGACCAAAAACATTGAAAACTTTCTCAGTTGCAACAGCCACTTCAGAGCCCATATAGTCAAACTGAAAGACAATTTTTTAAATCACTAGAATGATCATCATAGTATCAAGTTAAAATAATGAAATTATTTTAAGATGAAAGGTCAAAAATACAATTTAGAATTACCAATCACTTATTAAGTTTCAGGTACATTAAATATTTTAAAAGATAGTTGCAAATTATCTTTCTATTAATAGGTACAGAAATTAATGGGAACACTGGTGGAAGGATGGGTGTTGGAATATTACATGACTGAAATCTAATTATGAACAGCTTTGTAAGGGTCTATTGATAGTGATTTAATAAAAAGTAAAAAAAAAAAGAAATCAATGGGAAAACTTAGGATCCTAATTCTTGAATACTAATATAGATTAGCACCATTACTTAAACCTTCAACTATACATATTAATCAAGTATGCTTTCTGTACAATCCCCCCAAATTACACAACTATATATTCTGAGTAAATGACATAATCGAAATACATAGTTATGCATACCTAATATTTTCAATATTAGATGTTGTAATAATTTCATCAATATTCCCTGAATGAGGACAAGCATAAAATTTCCTGAAATGTTTTATGTGTACATTTTCTAAATACTTCATAAACTGCAGAAACATTGCAGCTCTGGGTCCAAATATATAGAACAGTCAGCAAGCGCTTGCCTTGTGTGCAATTAACCTGATTCCATGCCCTGCACCACATATGGTCCCTAGAGCAATGCCAGAAGTGATTCCTGAATGCAGAGTTAAGAGTTGAGATTTGAGTTTTTCTGGATGGGGACCAAACCCAAACCCAAAAAAAACAAAATAAAAGTGAATTTGGGGGCCAGAGCAATAGTTATAACAATGGTGGGGTGCTTGCTCTGCACGTGGCTGGTCGTGGCCACCAAAGCACCACTAGGTGTGATCCTTGAGCCAGAGCACCACTAGGTGTGGTCCTCAAACCAAAACCCACTGCAAAAGACAACATTGAAGCTCAAGTCTTCAAAAATGTCCATCATTTTTTCAGCAAACTCCTGGTATAAGAGAAAATACAATACATAAGAGTTCTCTGGTAAAGAGAAAATCAATGTTATTCTCTTAGTTCTTTATTAACTTTTCATCTTTTTTCTATCTTATGTAAACTTTCCCCATAAAACAGGCATTTTTAAAAGATATTATATATGAAAGCCATACATGGTTGTATTAATATAAAAACTAAAAGGCAAGAATAACATAGTATTAGCAAATATTTATAAAATACCTTAAAAGACGCATTATAAATATTTATATTATAGCACAGCAGCAAAGCATATAAAACAGAATTTAACATTATTGTAAATGAAATTGTTTATACACTGGGGAAAGATTTTTGTAGGTCTCTCAATATTTAAAACTGCAATATTCAGTACAGATGTGAAAGGCTAAATTATCGTCAGAACCCCATTGGACGAGGTAGGTGAGTCACAGGAACTGCTATGAACTGCTACTCACTAACATATTTCCCGGATTTCAATCTTCCACATACCAGGAGCCTCAATGCACACCTTTCATTCTCTTTCCCTTAGCAGATGAGTAACAAGTGTCCAAGCTTACTACAGCCATGTCTGGCTTTATGTCTCTGTTCCCAGGCACTTTAATGCCCCCTACCTTTGCCCTGAGAGGTAAACCTCAATTCTCTGCTTTGACCCACCAATGATCTTTCTCATTCCCAAAGCTGAAACCTCAATACCCAGCCACCACATGCTGTGACCCCATCAGATAAACTGCGTGGCACTCTGTAATCCCACCCCCTACTTTACCCCTGCCATCTTAAGTAGTTAACTGATATAATCAAGAAACTTCAAGACAAGCACTGATCTCACCAGTTCCACTATCCTGGTCTCACTGATAATCACACAGTAGCTACAGATGCCAGAATTTAGCAGTCAAAAATATTAGACTTATGATGTGAATGGAATTACTGGATCACTTCTCAGACAACCTGGTATTTGGAGCTCCACTGTTAGCATCAGTAGAGCAGAAGAGCAACAGTAATAATGAAAAGAAATGAAAGAATTAAGCTAATCTCAGGGATGCAGATGAAAGTCCTTGAGTACTTCATAATGTTTGACAATGCCTGAGGATGATTTTAAAGTAATAATTCCTTGTGTTTACTAAACTAAGAAAGTCACTGGGGGATATTTAATAAACTTAAATGAAACCTGGTGGTGAAAATGATAGAATGAATTCAAACAGAAAAGATGGAGTTAAAGAATATATTAGCAGAACTCAGCAGAAAAATTGGAAAACTAAAAATTGCATCAGTGACTTGAAATGATGCACACAGCACCATTAAAGAGGTGGGAATAGGAAAGAAATTTTTGCGGAAGAAAGCTCACTGAAGAATATTTCACGTAGGTAATAGTTAGAAGGACACCTTATAAATTTTAGGAATTCATGAAGGAGGAGGAAGAAGAGAACAAATGGTTAACTATCACTATAACTATCACTATGACCCCATTTATTTATTGATTGAGTGGGTGCCAGTTACGTGTCCATTCATCTCTGTCACATGCTAGTGTAGCCCCATGGCATATTGGGGGTTCTTTCAGGGTCAGGGATATGAGGACCATTATTGCTACTGTTTTTGGCATATCAAGTATGCCATGGGTAGCTTGCCAAGCTCACTGTGTGGGTGGGATACTCTTGATAGCTTGCCAGGCTCTCCGAGAGGGATGGAGACTTTGGGGGCAGCCTCTAATCACCATTTACAGCTGTTCACAGTCAGGCATATATGCTAGCAAGATACTCTCGGTACACTGCCGGGTTCTCTGAGAGCGAGAAGTAGACAATAGAGGTCTTATTGTCACATTCATGGCCACATGCTTCCTGGAACTTGGTTTTATAGTCTCTGGATCTTGGCCGTTGGTGGGGTTACAAGGCAGTTGGTGGGTGTAACTGTCTAGCTGCTGGAATATGGGGAATCTGGGTGGATGAGGCCCAGTCCCAATCAGAGCAGGCTTGGAGATTTCAGCCCCGGATCCCGCACACCTGGGTTCCTCTGCTGGTTCCTTTATGCATAAGGCTCGTCCTAGCATGTGGAGATTGGTCTGAGCATGGCTGTGGCAGGGTCCCAATGGCCAAATGGTTAACAGAAGAGATAAAATCAGATAAGTTTCCATCTCAGTAAGAAGACTTGAGTACTGATCCAGGAAGGCCAGAGAGTAACCAAATGAAATAATATAAAAAAAAATAACACCACTGTACATCATAAAGCAAGGAGACCATAATAATAATAATAATAATAATAATAATAATAATGTGGCAAGAGATGCAAAACTACACATACTAGGGAAAGAATATGTTTTACCTCTGATTTCCTAGTGAAACTCAAGAAGCAAGAAGACAATGGCAAGAAGCAAGAATTACATATTAAAAATGAATGGGAAAAAAACTTTGACAACAAATTTTTGAATCTGTAAGTATATTATTTATAACCTAGACTTCAGTCACTGTCGCTGTCCTCCCATTGTTCATCGATTTGCTCGAGTGGGCCCAGTAACGTCTCCATTGGAGACTTTGTTGTTACTGTGTCTGGCATATCGAATACGTCACAGGTAGCTTGCCATGCTCTGCCATGCGGGCGAGATACTCTCGGTAGATTGCCAGGCTCTCTGAGAGGGGAGGAGGAATCGAACTCGGGTCAGCCATGTAGGCTGCATGCAAGACAAATGCCCGACTGCTGTGCTATCGCTCCAGCCCTATATTTGAAAGAATAATAAAAATATTTCTAGGCAAAATATAGCAGAAAAAAGTGTTGTATCAAAATGAGATCTACAAGTAATACTGATTGACGTGCAGTAAGAAGCAAAAACTATATAATGAAAACAACAACAACAAAAAAATATTTAATGTTGTTTCCAAAAATATTTAATGGAAGCAACAACAACAGCAAAAAATTTAATGGAAAAATCAAACAAAATTCTAATGGAAAAATGACAACAGCCACTGTCACTGTCACTGTCCTTCTGTTGTTCATTAATTTGCTTGAGCAGGCCCAGTAACATTGTGAGACTTGTTACTGTGTTTGGCATATCAAATACATCACGCGGAGCTTGCCAGGCTTTACTGTTCAGGCAAGATACTCTCAGTAACTTGCCAGGCTCTCCGAGAGGAGTGGAGAAATTATACTCGGGTCTGTCATGTCGGCCTCATGCAAGGCAAACTCCCTACCCACTGTGGTATCACTCCAGCCCAGCAACAATCACCATTTATAAATAAATGATAAATTTATACCATTTATTAATAATTATATAATTTATAAATGATTATACACAATTTATAAATAACTTCTATGTCAAAAGGATGGATATATCATGAAACGAAATTCACATTCTGCTACTTACATCTTAATCCTTATAATAAGCTCAGAGTTTGAGCTAAAGGATGAAAAAAAGAGTATGTAGATTAATTATACATTTATAAAGGTATGGAAAGTCATACTTGCTTTTAAAGTCATACATAGCATTTAAGTTAGATAAAATACTAAGATGTAGAGATGGGCATTTCATGCTATTGAAAGCTCAATAAATCAAGAATAATTATTATCAGAATATGTTCGCCAATAGAGGGGCAGAAATTTTCTAGAATAACTATTAAGAAACCTGGACAGATACATTGATGTCAACAAAATATCAGTAGGAGACTTTACACCCACTTTTGGCATTGGACAGAACTACCAGATAGAATATCAGTACAAGAACATCAGGAACATAAGAAAATCAGGAAATAGGGGACATAAATGAAGAACTAGAAGAACTGGAATCTTAGTTAATAGAATCTTCCGACCCCCCAGGACTTAAAAATCTTTTCTAGAGCACAGGGTAGATATTGTGCAGAAGCACTATTCATCTGTAAAATCAGAAAAGTAGAAATCAAATCAAGGATGTTCTCAGAGCACAAAACCATGAAGGTATAAATGAGCCATAGAAAAAGGTGGGAAATGCAGAGAGGAGAGAGAGAGAGAGAGAGAGAGAGAGAGAGAGAGAGAGGGGTCGGGGGAGGAAGAGCAGGAGAGAGAGAGTGAGAGAGAGAGAAAGAAAAAAGTGGGGACATTGGTGGTGGGAAATATACACTGGTAAAGGGGCAGGTGTTGGAACACTATATGACTGACACCCTATCATGAACAGCTTTGTTATTGTGTATCTCACTGTGATTTAATTTTTTAAAATATGGAAACAATAAGTTAATGCTGGTCAAAGAAGAAATCACAGAAAAAAGAAATTTTTTCTTGAAATAAAAGTGTTGTATAAAAGTGTATAAAGTGAAAAGAAGTCACAGTGGAAGAGTTTCAGAAGCCCTAGTCTATATGACAAGTGTTCAATATCAAAAATACAGAAAGTGCTTATACAGCAGAAAAATAAACAATCTGATCAAAAAATAAAGTGACAGATTTGAATAAAAGTTTCTCTGAGCTTGGCGCATCAATATCCAGAAAAGTCTCCAGAAATCTCAGACCAAGGAAGGGTTACCAAGGATTGTTCAGTGTCAATGCCTCTTTATTATCTTCTTATATTAAATTAATTTATCTCATAAAATTACAGTCATCCCTTGCTTTGTTTGGCCTCTGTTTGCCCTTATTGTTGTTTTCAGGTCTCTTACTTTTCATCCCTTTATCATGTTTTAAAAGTGTATTTTAAAAGTAGTGTTACTCTGTTTTCTAATCTGTCTTGTCATTTTGGCACAGAATTGGCAAGTTCAGGCCATTGGTATTTTTAAAAACATTGAAATAAAGATATATATAATGCCAACATTTTGTATGGGCTTTGGATGTTTCTGCAGATAAGTTTTGCTTCCTTAGCTTCATAGAGAGACCATTTAGTACATTTTCTAGTGACTGGTGATGAGCAAGAATTTCTTTAGCTGTTTTTGTCTATGAAGTTTTGTATTACACCATCAAACTTGAATGATAACTTAGTTGGATGAAGCATTCCTGATTCTATCCCTATTTTATTCAACAATTATTTTTGAATAGAGAAAAAAAGTTATTGTAAGTAATGTTAAGTTTTTTTCCATATTTCATTTCAAAACATAAAACCAAAAAAGAAATATTTCAGTAATACATACCAAGAATTTATCCATAATGATCTTTATTTTCACAAATCTTTTAATTTGGATAGCATCTGTATTTTTCTGTGAAAGTGACATAAATAAAATAAATCTTTTAAAATTTATAGTTGTTTGGAATGATTGAATACATTATAAATATATATGCATATAAAATGTACTTAAACAGATGCTAAGCACATAAATATATTCATGCATTCATTCATTCATCATCCTGTTATTCGTCGATTGCCTCGAGCAGGCCCCAGTAATGTCTCTTTCATCCTAGCCCTGAGACTATATTCAAGGCTCTTTAGGAGAATGAGACCCATCATTGTTACTGGTATTTGGCATATTTGGTGCGCCACGGGGAGTTTGCCAGACTCTGCCCTGTGGGCAGGCTATATTCGATAGCCTGCAAGTTTGTCCAGAGTAGGAATGAGATAATAAGATATCATAAAAAGATGTCCTGAATATATACATATATACATAATACATAATACATAAATATATACATATCGTTAAACTGTATATATGCAAATTATAGGAAAATAAGAGGATGAAAGGTCACTATGTACATGAGTGAAATTCCAATGAGAAATTTATAAGCACACCAGAAAATTTAATATTGTTATTATTGGGACGCACAAAATAAATTACTTAAATGAACCAGTATTCCCTTTGATGCACAACATTTATACAGGGACTTCATATGCCTGCTAGTTAACAACTTCCATTAACTTCTCCCAAAGGTTGCTTCTATATTTTCATTAATTTTATGCTTTTAATAATTTATATTCATGTTTTGGCTTATATTCAACAAAGTGCATCTGTTTAAGGGAGAGTTATAAACTGATACTAAGATATACATCCATTTTCATAACTCAATTTTTCATAAAATTTTTTGCATAGTAACTGTGACTAAACACAACATATTTGTTTTCTGTCACTATTGTTTATAATCATCAGTACTAAGATTTCATATAAACATTACTCAATGCATTAACCAACCAAATATATCTGACTACCTTTAGTCCATACTCCTCTATGCCTTGTAATTATTAGTAATTCGTTACATTTGTTGCTATTGAGTGTGTCATTTTAGGTGACATTTTTTAGGGTGGTCACGGTCATGGTCCTCCTGTTGTTCATTGATTTGCTCGAGTGGGCCCAGTAACGTCTCTATCATGAGGATTGTTGTTACTGTGTTTGGCATATCGAATACCTCACGGGTAGCTTTCCAGGCTCTGCCGTGCGGGCAAGATACTCTTGGTAGCTTGCCGGGCTCTCCGAAAGGGACAGAGGAATCGAACTTGGGTCAGCCATGTTGGCCACTTGTAAGGCAAATGCCCTACCAGTGTGCTATTGCTCCAGCCCTTTAGGGTGGTACCAAGGTTATTTCCAGACAGGTGGTTGTAGGTATTAAGTGGCAGTGAAGAGGGCATGATACAGTGGTGGGAACTGGACCTGGGGTTCCAGCTCTTCAAGTCATTTTAGAAATGCATTACATTATTCTACATTAACTTTTTGATGATATATAGGGTTAATTAGACATTTTTCTAATTGTAAATAAAGAATATGTTCAAACCTTTTAAGGGTTTTATTTTTTATTTATCTTCATTTGTTAATTGCAGTTATGTAAAATAGTATAAATATGACTGCTAAGGTCATTCTACATTTACCCCAGAATTAGTAATTTCTGATTTTCTAATGGTCTTGTTTGTATTAATTAGTATGATTTCTTTGTACTGCATCATTCCTGCGGATTTGTATAGATCTTATTAACAATGTCAATTTCTTTGTTTTCTGTGATTTATATAGTTAAACCAGAACTTTGGTTAATTTTCGTTAATATTTTTATTACAGACTTATTAGGGTTCTTTTTTCCCTTTGAAAAGTATCCCTTTTGTAATTACTCTTTTTCAACCGAAGTTTTAGATAGTATCATTAGGAAAATGATGACTGCGGATAATGTGGGCTGATAACCTGCATTATTCAGTATAACCCAGTATATTTTCTAATCTCATGATATATATTAGTGTGTGGCAGCATTAATTTTCACATATGTCTGGATATTTGGGGAGCTTAAGATTAAGTTATACTCATATGTGGAGCGCCCAGAGCATTCTTACTGTGCCAATGACATCTGCATTTTAATATGACAAAGAGAAGAGGAGGGAAGAGGAGGGGGAATAAGGAGATGGAAGGGAAAGATGACTGGAGAGGATAAGATGGGAAAGGATATGAGAAGAAAGATTTTTACCTCAACCATTTGTGGGTGGAGGAAGCATTTCAACATATGAACACAAGCATGTACAGGTAAAGTACTGATTTACATTGATTTACATTGCTAAGTGTAGATGTTAATACATGTTATTAACATGTCTTTTAAATTAGGAAAAGTTATTATTACTAGTTTTATCAGATTCGGTGTTAAAATTTCAAAAGCATTTCTGAAACTATAATGTTAGCGCATGGTTTTTACATAAATTAGCTCTACTTACAAATTTCACTTCAAAATACCATAAAGTATACAGTCTCAGAGTCCTTGAAAAATATAATCTCCAGGTGATAATACAATCTGACTTCAGAGGTTAAGAATGTAAGTGCTTGTGTACGTGTAATTTTACAGCTAATAAATTTGTTGTATTGTGTTAGATTTCTGCTTAATTTTCATCTCACAATAAGGCATTTTTCTTATTTATAATAAGTTTGCTTAGAAGATGGAGTGCTAGTACAGCAGGCAGAGTTATTGCCTTGCACATGGCAGGCAAGTTTGGTTTCTGGCATCCTCTATGGTCCCCTGAGCCCCACCAGGATGGATCTTTGAGCATAAAGCCAGGAGTAAATCCTAAGCACGGCCTCATACAGCCCAAACCAGAACAAAACAGATTGTGTTTATTACAAATTTCAAAATGTCTAAAGTATAGACTTTTACATTATTCTAATTTTTAAAAATTAGCTATAGCACTGTCGCGCCATCCTCCCATTGTTCATTGATTTGATCGAGCGGACACCAGTAATGTCTCCATTGTGAGACTTGTTGTTACTGTTTGTGGCATATCGAATATGCCACGGGGAGCTTGCCAGGCTATGTAATGTGGGCAGGATACTCTTGGTAGCTTGCTGGGCTCTCTGAGAGGAACGAAGAATCGAACCCAGGTCGGCCATGTGCAAGGCAAATACTCTACCCGCTGTGCTATCATTCCAGCCCCAAAATTAGCTATAATGAAGATTATTTACATTGTTTGGTGTTTTTCATTTTGGGGGCCACATCAGTTGGTGCTCAGGGATTACTCTTGGCTCTGAGCTCAGAGATCACTCACTTCTGGCTGGTAGTGGGGGACAATAGAGGATAACACAGCATCAAACCCACTTTGACCGTGTTCAAGGCAAGTAACTTACCTACTGTACTATCTCTCCAGTTCCTCAGATTCTTAACTATAAATTAAAGCTATCAAATTCAAGATAAAAGGAAATCATTTCCTTTCACAATGAAAAACCTAAAATTATAGGCACCTACCAATACCCATTTCTATTCTGTTTAAATTCCCATGCTTCTTAAGTTCTGAAGTTCTTGACTTTTATTATATTTTTGCAAATTGTTTGGAATGGTCATTTTCTATAATTACTTCTAAGTATTGTTCTAATCTGGTTTTTGGGTCACACCCGCTGATGCTCAGGGATTATTCCTGGCTCTGCACTCAGGAATCACTCCTGGAGGTGCTCGGGGGACCATATGGGATGCTGGAAATTGAACCCGGGTCAGCCGCGTGCAAGGCAAATGCCCTATCCATTGACTATCTCAAGCCCCCTTATGGCAGAATCTCCTGCCTCCGTGCCAGGCTGCTGTCATGGGGGTATCTCGGAGGGGGGCGGGTTGAGTTTCCCTCACTGTCCCAGGTAGAATCTCAGCAGCCGAAAAACCTCCAGAACCCAGACACAGCCTTGCTCAAGGCCACTCTCCACATGCTCAGACAAACCTCACACATGAAGGAACCGGCAAACGAACCCAGGTATGCAGCACCCGTGACTGAGATCTCCAGGCCTGCTCAGATCGAAGCTGGGCTTCCTCCACCCAGATCCCCCATTTTCCAGTATCTTGGCAGTCACACCCCACAAACTGCCTCCAGAGCCTTGTAATCCCACACGGCAGAGCCTGGCAAGGTACCCATGACATATTCAATATGCCAAAAACAGTAACAATAACGGATCTCATTCCCTTGACCCTGAAAGAGCCCCCAATAAGCCATTGGGCTATGCTAGCACTTGACAGGGATGAATGGAGACATTACTGGAGCCCACTCGAGCAAATCGATGAACAAGTGGGATGACAAGTGATACAAGTGATTTTTTAATATGTATTTATTGTTTGTGATGCTTTGTATATGATGCCAAGTAATTGCTATTAAGTTTTTGTTTTGGTTGTTGTTGTTGTTTTTTGGGGGACAGGGTGAGATATTTGGCTCTGCTCAGCACTTACTCTTCACTCGGAGCTCAGGGATCATTTTTAGAGTTGCACTAAGGGGCTGGGGATTGAACCAGGTTGATTGCTTGCAAATCAAGAGCCTTATCCATTGTACTTTCTCACAGCCCACATGAAGTTATTTAACATTTGACATAGTTGTATGTTAATATTTTCAACATTCCTCCTTAGAGATTAAATAAATTATGCACAGAATGGTTATGTTACTTTCCCACATGTTGACAGCCTCGTAATTTATTAAATAGAGTCTGTTCAAAGCTGAGCTATTTCTTCTAACTCATTACTTAGTGCAGATTAATTTAATGAATGTAGAATCCTGTGACATGTTGACTTATTTTTTGTGGTAGTACTACATTTCAATAGCAAAAGTTATGTTTCATAATATTCAACATTCTATTGCAGTTGTTTTCAGACTGGCATAAACTTCGGATTATATTTCAGTTTGACTATAAATGTTTTATCCTCTATATATTTTTGATACCTATGTATTTGTGATATCCTTGGAGAACTGCTTTATGACCTTTACTATTTTCAATATTCTTTCCAAAACAAATGAAAACAAAGTCAGAGTTATATGGAATTTGTCATAAACTAAATCCATTTAATAAACTACTGTTGTTTTTCTTTAGCAAAATTTCAAATTTTCTTCAGATAATGTAGAATAAAACTTAGTTTTAGCACTAATTGATAAAATACAACTTTTAGAAACAATCTTAACAAGGAATCAGTAACATATACACATTTTAAGATATTATTATAATAAGCTGCAATTATTAAAAAATGTGTTACCTCCATTTAATTAAATATTTGACTAAAATCCAATGAAAATTTTTAACTCTATAAATTTAATATATTTTACTATTTTGTATAAAAAAGAAGCATGTATATAAAAAGCATTTGAAATCCACAAAAAATGAGGTCAATAATTTCCACAAAACTATTTATATTAGAAAAAGGAATTAAGGCCCATTCTTATTTTCCAGACATACATAGAACAGTAAATACATTAATAGATATTGATGAAGAATTTTGAATTTAAAAGAATAAGTATAGCACTTTAACAAAAAGATCACATCTTTTTTGTAGAGAAAATGATTTCAAATAAGAATTATTATATCATTTTATTAAAATTATGCTTTTATAAATATACATTTTACCAGATATATTAAAATAACTGAAGCATCTATTCTAATATTTTAAGAATACTATCTCCAGTTCAGGAGATTTAACTTAAAATTTTGCTTTATTTCATCTTTTAAATTTTATATTAAAATAATAGATTTTGCAAAAAAACTAGAGAAAAGAGCTTACAGAGAAATAATCATCACAAAAATTCAATAATTATTATGTGTAAATTTGTAAAACTGTAATTAAAATAAAAATTTCTTTTTTTAACTATTGTGCTCCAAACCCACAGTGCTCCAGAAACTATGTAGTGCTGAGTATTAAATTCAGGTCCTCACATATGCAAGACATATATATATGTATATATGTATATATATATATATATATATATATATATGCTCTACCACTTGAAGCACATATTCATCCCTTAGAGTTGTTTTGTTTGTTTTTAGCTCATCAAGTATGCATTTATTACTTTGGCATAGCCATTGTATAACTGAATGTAGATGTATTAAAAACGTCTTACAAAAGAAGTTTAAGTTATAGTTTAAATGTACTTTCTAAATACAACAAATTCCAACATGAATAAATATAAAATTAGAGCAAAGATTTCATAAACAGTGTTACTTACCTCTGACTTCACAATAATCTTGTAGAACGGATCTACCAATTGGTTGTTCTGATCATTTTCTTTTGAAAGGGGGGACTCAATTCTATTATCATGTATTTGATAAAGTATATGTTCATATGTAGTTGCAGTTTCCAAGGGTTCAATTCCATAAGTGACATTCTCCAGCTGCAATAATCCCCTGAAAGAGAAAAAAATAATATAAATTCCAGTTTTAAATATAAATAAGGGAGTCCAAGAGAAAGCACAGCAGGTAGGTGCACATATTTGGGATGGGGGCCTCAATATCTGACATCCCACCCCACTAGGAGTGATCCCTGAACACAGAACCAGGAATAAGCCCTGAGCACTACCAGGTGTATTCCCCCCGCAACCACAATACTATCTCAACCACAAATAAATGAAGAATAGATCAGTAGCGAACAAAAAGGGCTGGAGCTATAGCACAGCAGGTAGGATGTTTGCCTTGCATGCAGCCAACTCGGGTTCAATTCCTCCGTCCCGCTCAGAGAGCCTGGCAGGCTACCAAGAGTATCCCACCCCCATGGCAGAGCCTGGCAAGCTCCTCATGTCATATTCGATATGCCAAAAACAGTAACACCAAGTCTCACAATGGAGACGTTACTGGTGCCCGCTCGAGCAAATCAATGAACAATGGGAGGACGATGCTACAGTGCTACAGCAAACAAAAATGTTTAGAAGTTGTGCTTTTAGTGTGATTAATAAATGCATATCTAGTAAACTTTTCCTGTACAGATCTTGTGATTGTAATTCTGTCTGGAGGAAAAATAGAACAAAAACATAGTAACAAGAGGATATGAAATATATCTATAAAGAAACATAATCAAAGTCATATATTGTTATCACCATTATACCCTTCAAAAGGTTCCTTAATTTAAGGAAATGCTAGATCAATATTTCTCAACTGGAGTCACATGACCAACCACATGGCACACACACATACCCACCAGGTACCTTTTTTTTTTCAATCAGCAATGTGTTTATTAGCTCTCACACGGGGGGTTTTATACATACATTTCAGGGGGCAATCCACGTGTATCACATTTACCTTGTCGCTCAGTACAGATGTTAGTTAGTTAACGATTTACAGCTCCTGCTTTCAGGGCCAGGTGTATTAGCTCAGGCAGATGGTAACTATTATATCCTTCATCCTCAACCAGAGTGCCTATGTGTGCCCCTGTAAACAGTGCTGGCTCTTTCTTTCAGGACCTGGGGATTTGGTCAAAGTCTCAGGCCGGCTACTGAGACCCCAACATCTCCCCCTTTTTGCTTTATGTAAGAGCCAGCTGCTGAGGGCCACCCAGCAGCCTCACGCTGGGGCTTAGGGGTCGTGCCTGTCTTACGTTGCCTCCTCTAAGGTCTTACCTGTCACGTGACCAACCATAAATTGAAGGTTCAGAGAAGGACATACTAGATACTCAACCATCTACATCTCTGAAATGCACAATTACCTGAGTCCTGAACAAGTGCTCAGTGTCACAACTGATTCGGGAATCTCTGCAGCATATCCTTGATAAAAGCAGTGACCCTAAATAAGAGTGCATGAAGATGTATTCCTAAATTAATTTGTTTTTGGTATCATACATTATCAATTTAGATTATCCACATTAAGACTTAGCAAATACCATATTATTACTCATTGAATATTCTATTTTCTATTTGTCTGACAGCTCTTCCTTTTACTTCTTATAAATAATCATAATTTCTATTCTCTCCCAAAATAATCATGTCTTCAAATTTTGACAAGTTTTATTTTCTTCTTTCTTTTCTCAACCATGCCCCCCTTTTAATTATTATTTACAATATTGTTCATTACAGTTTCATACAGTTCTAAACAACATACACCACAAGAGTGACTTTTCTCCTTCACCAGTGTTCCAAAAACCCCTCCCAACTACCTCCCTCACTCACCAGGACAGCTCAGTTCTCTAAACCATTTCTCAAATTCTGTTGCTGTTGCTCATATGTTTTCCCTTACTACGATTCTTTATATTCCCTATATGAGAGTGGTCATTTACCTCACTCAACATGATATCCTCTAGCCTCACCCATATACTGGAAAAGGAAGAGTTCATTTTAATCTATATTAAAGCAGTAATTCAATAATGCATATATGTACCATTGTTTCTTTATCTAGTCATCTGTTCTTGGACATTCAAATTTGTTTCCAGAATCTGGCTCCTGTGACTAGCACTACAATGAATCTTTTCAAGTGCCTTTCCAAAATAGTGCTTTTTGGTGCTTGAGGTAGACACCAATAAGTGGAATTACTGGACTGTATGGAAGCTCAATGATTAGTTTTTGAGAAGGGTCCACATTGTTTTCAAATGAGATGAACCAGCAGTGATTGAGAGTTCTTTTTTAAACTATATATGTACACCAGCACTGGTCATTTTTGTTCCTTTTTATTATGAATTCAAATCTTAATGGAATGAGTTGATATCCCACTGTTCATTGATTTGTATTTCACCATTATAAATGATAGAGAGCATTTTTCCATATACCTATCTTTAAAGAGATTGTGGAATGTCTTTTGCACATTTTTAAATTTATCATTATACTCTACAAATGATTTAGATAACTTAGATATTAGCTATTTGTCAGATTGGTGATGAGGAAATATTACCTCTCATTCTGTGGGGTTTATTTGCATATTCATTTTCATTTTTACTTATTTTGCAGAGCAGGCAAAAGCTTCTTGATTTGATATAATCCTTCTTATTTTAATCTTTGCTTTTCTTTTCTTGGCCAATGGCATTGAGTCCTCATGAGGATTATTACTATACTTTCCTCTGAATAATTTTTGGATTCCGGTTTTGACTAAGACCTTTATTCTACTTTGATTTTATTTGTAAGTGTGGTATGACATAAGAGTCTGAGTTCATTTTTGGACATATGACTGACCAGCTCACCCAACAAGATTTGAAGAAGCTTCTACTGCTCTGCTACAAGCTTAAAGCTCCTTTGTCTGTTATTATTATTGTTGTTATTATTATTATTCATGATCTGTCTCTGGGATAACAATTCTGTTTTATTAGTCAATGAATCTGTCTTTATTCAGGTACCACATTATCTTGACGACTATGGCTTTATGTTATAATGTTGGGGAAAGAGAAGTGTCCTGTATTTTTTTCCTAAGATTTCTTTGACTCTTTAAGCAATCTAATTACTTCTTATGTACTTCAACAGAAATTTGTCTATGTCTCTAAGTAAAAGTCGTGGGTATTTTTATAAAGACTGAAAAAAAATTGTATAGTGCTGAGGGTAATACTGTCATTTTAGCAATGTTGATCTTTCCAAATCATTAATAGGAGATGTGCTTCTATTTCCTCCTGTCTTATTTGTTTTAGAAGTAATTTATATGCCTGATATGTGCTGTATCTAGTGCCAGACATTTAAGACTAAATATTCCAGTCTTTCACCAAGTCTCATTGATTATAGAAAGACAACCAATCTAATTCTTGCTATATTTTAAACTTTTGGTTAGGAGCATGGTATAAAGATAGAAACTCTTATTTCCAAGACTGATTCTCATAAGTATTAGTTTATCTTGTCTAAGTTGAATACCTGGACTTTGAAAATTTCACTCTGCTTTCACTGAAAATCCTATAATTTCCATATAATATAACACATACACTATTATATGTTTTATCATCTCAGAAAATGTGCAATCAAATTTTTCATTAAAGACATAAAATAATCTCCCCCATTTTCCCCCAAAATACATCTCATAAGCTATCTTTATATTTGGTTATACGTTGTGCAAATTGCAGCTGTTTGAGCATTCCTAAAGTCCGAATAACTGGAGTGTTGCTTTGCTTAACCTCCCTTCTATGATTACGAATTTCATTCAACCAAATTGAATGTAATAACCTTTCTTTGCTTTTTTGCCCTCTGAGAGAAAATTTCAAGTTGGCACATATCTGAAAACAGATGTCATGTGTATTTTTTATGTTTATAACTTATAAATATAGAGAAATTTTTAGCATCTACCATATTTTAATTCCACTATCTCAATGAAACATAACAGTTAAATCTAAGCAATCAATCATATCTGCTTTTTAGAAAAATTCCTGTGGCAATAAAAATTGTGTCTTATTGACTAAAGCTAACTTTCTCATATCCTTTAATTTTTTTCTCATGCTTGCTTGCATTTGGGGCTATACTGAAAATGTCTGTGCTTTATAAGGAAGTAAATATATCTGTATTAATGATTCTTTGCATCCTCACTTTCCCTGAGGCCTCTCTAGGTTATTTCCACCATTTTCTCCATGACTCAGTTCCCATAATCTCATTTAAATTTTCTCATTGAGTTTAAAAGCTTTTTACTTCCTTTACCTATATATTTTTTTGTTCTTTATCTTATACTCCTACTATTAATTCCAAAGACTTTCCCAACATATGATTTTTGTAATGAAGGTTCAGGTAATTATTAAATTATTCAATTAAATATGCTTTTATAGTAATTACGGCATGTACTTGAATTTATGATATTTTTGATCAATCGTTGTATTGGGTATAAAATATTCTTTTTCTTTTAGCACATACTTGCTTTAATCATGTTCAAATATTAATAGTCTAGCATAAAACAAAACTTACTTTTATGAATGAAGAATCTGGAGAAAATATTCCTGAGCTGTTGCTTAAGTATAGATGGAAATGAGGATCTAAAAATGATCTAATTCAACAAAAACATGACACTTTATTGCAATAGTATAATTAATTTAACAATTTCTACAAAAATTAATTTAATTTAATACGGTTTTATGAGTTCAACTACCTTAATAGGCTTATAGCTCCATTGCATACCTGTGTTTTGATCAGATATGTGTGGAAATAATAATATAACTAGACACCAGGTATGAGTGTTATAATGACACATGCAATATGTGTAAGAGAAACAAAGTTTCTAAATCAAACACTTTACAGCATCAATGTTAAAATATTTGAATAGTAAAAACATTTAAACTATTGCTTTTTGCTTTTAGTGTTCATGTTAACTTTCAGTTTTATTAAAAAATAATGCAAGTTATTTTGATTCCACTTGACTTCATCCTGAAGCCTAGGGAAAGGCCTGACTCCTCAGAAGAATATGCCTTTCTGTATCAGAGGGACAGGAGAAATCAGAGAACCCACTTAGCTTTTAAAGTCTTTCTTTCTTAAAGCAAGATACCACTGTTTTGCTCAAATTTCATAAGTGATTTATGTACATACATGCCTAGTACAAGTATGGTACAAAATATACAACTATTAGAAGAGTCCTCAGCTTCCCATAGCCAGACGCAGTTCCGCATGTGCAGTTAGTTCCATTTTAGATGTTGCCATTCCACTTTTTAAACTTTCCTCAAATTCCTGGGCTCTTTCTGAGACTGGGAAGTTATCAATTTACCCAAGATCATAATTCTGCCACAAATGCTGGTCTCACAGGCGACTAAGAAATAAAGGGGCAAATCTTGGGCATAGGGTGAACTGTATAACTTATAAGGCCTTAAAAGAAGAGACGGTTTCCAGCAGACTAAGTATGAATAAAAGATGATAATCCTACTTTACCAACACAATTGGGATCTAAATTAACAGACATTTCTGGGAAACAGCTGGGAGTCCTCGGAGCGATAGCACAGCGGGTAGGGCGTCTGCCTTGCACACAGCCAACATGGTCGACCCGAGTTCAATTCCTCCGCCCCTCTCGGAGACCCCGGCAAGCTACGAGAGTATTCGATATGCCAGACACAGTAACAATAAAGTCTCCAATGGAGACGTTACTGGGCCCGCTCGAGCAAATCGATGATCAACGGGAGGGCCTTTACTTTACAAAGACTTAGTTTTCCTATAAAAGCACTACAATCAGAGCCATACTTAGTCCTGTACTAAATTCCTCTCCAGCTGGAGAGATTCTCTTACGCTAATAAACTTGTCCATCTTTCGAATTTAATCTAAGTATCTTTATTATTCAATATGTTCATTTCATTGTCAAGCAGGAAAATACTGAAGAGGTCAGGAATCTTGAACCAACAGAGACTCCACAACCATCACTAAAACATCATTTACAGAGAAGAAAATTACTGTAAGACCAGAGTTCATTGTTGAAGAACTAGGATTTTTCATGGACTTCTAACTCATTTCAAGATTAGAATGAGTAGGGTAAGTAGGATAGGCCTTTCTCAAAGTACTTTTACAAGTAATATCTTTACGAATTTGCTTGGTTTTATATTCTTTTGCCCTTTCTCCTCCCCTCCCACTCCCACCTTTCCAAACAGCTCAGAGCACGTGGACTGCTCCCTGAAACTAATAGTTCAGTGTTGAACCTAGATGGGTTATACTTCTGGGAATGCCCAGGCTATGAGTGCTTTTGTTCTAGGAACATTATGGTGCTGGAGACAGAACTCTCTGGTCTTGTGAATGCAGGGCACATGCTGCACCACTTTATGCTCCTTTCTCTGAGCTTATATTCATGCTTTATTTTCTCTCGTTCCTGGCAACTTTCCCTTTTCTTCAATTCAAATAAAACCATAGAGCATACCAGATAAAAGTTGGCATTATTCAGTTTATATAATTAAAAATGTATTCAAGGAAAAGCTCTGGATGCCCTTGGTTTGTTGACACACAAGTTAAAGAATAGTAAGTCTGGCACAAGGGCAGAACCACATTTTAATAACATAAGCATATATTACTGGAGGTGGTATAAATAAGAATCTAAAAGCTATTCCAAGGTTAAAAAGTAGTAAAGAAACAAACCCTGAAAGCATAATTAGAAGAAGAAAACTTTGATCTGCAGTTTTATACACCTTGTGACCTCAAAATTATATTTTTGCTTACATATGAAGTTAACAAAAATGTCGAGTTTAATAAGGAATAACATCAAAATTAAAATGGCTGTAAAATAAAAACTATGTACAATATAAATAGAACAAATAAAAAATTAAAACAAAGCAAAAATTAAAAAGAAAGTTTCTAATGATGTGGAACTGATTGAGAAAATAATTTCAAGAAAAGTCAGTAAACTTACGAAGTATATTTTTAAGAAATATATTAAGTGTGCTACTTCAAGAAATAAAAGAGGACATGAGGAAATGGAAACACATCCCCTGCTCATGGATTGGGAGAATTAACATCATCAAAATGTCAATATTCCCCAAAGGATTATATAGGTTCAATGGGATGCCTATAAGGATACCCATGATATTTTTCAAAAACATTGATCAAACACTCCTGAAATTCATATGAAACAATAAACCTCTTGAATAGCTAAAACAATCCTTGGGAAAGAAGATGGGTGCCATCACCTTCCCCAACTTCAAACTCTATTACAGAACAATAGTAATTAAAACAACATGGTATTGGAATAAAGACAGACCCACAGATCAATGGAATAGAGTTGAATATCCTGGCACAGACCCTAAAATATAGCACTGTAGCACTGTCCTCTCGTTGTTCATTGATTTGCTCGAGCAGGCCCAGTAACGTCTCCATTGTGAGATTGTTGTTACTGTGTTTGGCATATCAAATACATCATGGATAGTTTGCCAGGCTTTGCCATGTGGGCGAGATACTCTCAGTAGCTTGCAAGGCTCTATGAAAGGGGGGGCAGAGGAATTGAACTTGGGTTGGCCAGGTCGGCCACATGCAATGCAAATGCCCTACCTGCTGGTTTATCACTCCAGCCCACCCTAAAATATACAATCACCTAATATTTGATAAGGGAACAAGAAATATGAAGTGAAGCAAAGAAAGCCTCTCTAAGAAGTGGTGCAGACTGTAGCAATAGCACAGCAGGTAGGGCGTTTGCCTTGCATGTGGCCAACCCAGGTTCGATTCCCAGCATCCCATATGGTCACCTAAGCACTGCCAAGAGTAATTCCTGAGTGCAGAGCCAGGAGTCACCCACCCCTGAGCATCGCTGGGTATGACCCAAAAAAAGCAAAAAAAAAAGTGGTGCAGACACTCAAATGAATCTCGGACCTGAGCAACTTGCAGCAGAGATGGCCTGAGACTTTGCTATAGGACCTCTCCACTGAACTGCTCCAGACAGGGGCAGGTCTTGTCCCTCCGCCTGCCCTGTAAGAGCTCCGGCAGGCGCCATTTTCTAGAAGTCAGCGAGAAGCTCCAGTTATGAGAAGTGGTAATGGCAAATCCCAAGTCTCACGGGACAGTGGAGGAGTGGATCCTCCTCCTTCCCTCCACCCTGATGCGACGCCGAGATGATGCCACATCCTCCCACCATCTACTGAAGCTCCCACATGGCCACGATCCAGAGACACACAAATGAATCTCTGACCCAAGCAGACTTGCTGCAGTTATTTCTTCCGACCCTAATTATTAAAATCTTAGAATTTCTAGAGTGCACAGCCACATGACATTATATTATATCCATAACAAGCAATACAAAACGTATTGTCCAGCATTGCATTCTCAGCAGGTATGAGGGGTGGTAGAACTGGTCTTGAAATACTGAAGGTAGCTAAAGTAGAGAAAAAATATTTGCAAATTGTCTACCACATCAGCAGGAGGAGGTGTGGAATGGGGGAGGGGGGATATAGGGAATTTTGGTGGTGGAAAACGTTCACTAGTAAATGGATGGATTCTTTGTTTGTTTGTTTGTTTTTGCTTTTTGGGTCACACATGACACTGCACAGGGGTTACTCCTGGCTCTGCACTCAAGAATTACTCCCAGCGGTGCTCAGGGGACCATATGGGATGCTGAGAATTGAACCTGAGTCAGCCACGTGCAAAGCAAACTCCCCACCTGCTGTACTATCACTCCAGTCCCAAGGATGGGTGTTTGATGACTATATGATCAAAGTTCAAACATGAAATTTTTGCTACTGTATCTCACGGTGAATAAATAAATAAATAAATAAAAGTGGTGCTGTAAAAACTGGACAGTTTCATGTAAAAAAAGAAAATGAACTGTGACCTCTACCTAACATCATGCACAAAAGTCAGATAAAAATGGGTTAAAGACCTTAAAGTCAGACCTGGATTCATAAGATACAATGGCAAAACATAGGCAAAACCCTCCACAATATTTAAACTCAAGGCATCTTCAAAGTTGAAACACTGCTGACCAAGCAAGTGAAAGCAAAGATTAACAAATAGGACTACATTAAACTAAGGAGCTTCTGCATCAGTGCTGGTGCAGATGCAGGGAGAAAGGGACCTTTATTCATTGCTGGTGGGAATGCAGGCTGGTCCAACCTTTTTGGTTTTAAACAATATGAACGTTCCTCAAAAAACTAGAAATTGAGCTCCCATTTGACCCAATAATACCACTTCTGGGAATATACCCTGGGAATCTAAAGACACACAGCAGAAACACCATCTGCATTTTTATGCAGCACTATTCACAATAGCCAGAAGCTGGGAACAACAACCTGAGTGTCTGAGAACAGATCAATGAATAAAGAAAATATAGTACATCTACACAATGGAATACTACACAGCTGTTAGAAAAATGAGGTCCTGAAACAGACTTGGAAACTATCATGCTGAGTGAAATCGGTCAGAAGGAGAGGGACAGATATAAAATGACTATGTTTATTTGTGGGATATAAAAAAATTTATGACACATCCAATGCCAGGGAAAACTGACCAGGAGGACTAGTCAATGGTTGATCAATGGTGATAGGAGATCAATGGTATTTAACATAGAGGAGCATCCATTATGACAACACTCGTTGG